CAAACCCCGATTTGGTTTAAACGCCTATGACTTAATCCATCTTGTTTTGGCTTCCCCCAGGTGGCCGGAAGGCTGGTAAGCCAATTTTGCCGAAGCCTGGTTCTTATCCTGGTTCTTATGGGCATGTGTCAAAATGTGTGGACAAAGGATGTGCCTTCAAACACAACAAACACACACGGACACAGGCACAGAGACACAGAGACACAGAGACACAGAGACACAGAGACACAGAGACACAGAGACACAGAGACACAGAGACACAGAAGCACAGAAGCACAGAAGCACAGAAACACATAGACAGACACAGACACAGGCACACCCACCACTATCCTTATCATCCGTGACGCCCTGGAACGCCCCAGGCCTCATCCCCAGCTGTTTGTACCACTCCACGATTTGGCGGTCGTCGTCACTGGCCAGGGCCAGCAACAAGCGAGCGAAGAGCACTCGAGTTTGCAGCTTCAACTCGCAGACCTGCGGAGGGCTGAGTCTCCATGCTGATCAAGCATCGCTCTTTCCATCAAGCTGTCGTCCTCGAGCTTCTAGTTTGCTTTGCTGGAAAGGATCCTGGAAATTACTCTAGAATAGCTTGCACTTCAGTGAAAGGAAAAGAATCCAACATGAAGGACACCCAAAAGGGAAACCGACTTTAAACAAGGAAAGATTGGGGGGGAGGGGAAGGTCAAAATTAGGGGTCCTGTTATTTTTTGAAAAGGTGGCACCAGGAGGCACAAGTGTCCAAAACAAGCCATGCGTGTTCAACCCCCAAAACTGGTCCATTCCCTTAAGACGATCAACTTTTGGTGGGATATCGAAATCAAATCCATCTAAACTCATACCAAAAGTCTTGGGCTATGACCGGGAGCCGCCAAGTGGAAGGAAACCAACACGACGAAATCCACTATGGCACTCTGGGGTTGCCAATAGCAAGCCAAAGCCATTTGCCCGGGTCTACTATCCACGAAGGTGACATCCTCAAATTTGCCAGCCCTTGCTGTCTAAATGGTCGTTTTTATTTTGCGATCCCAGTAACTTGGAGAACTCAACGTATTCAACCGGGACCCCCCCACAACAAAAAAGGGGCACCAGGGGGCCACCAGGTGGTGATCACCTATAACATGTCAAACAAACAATTGGCCCAACCAACTTGTTGGTTTTCACACGAGCCCTAGACCCGTGGAATGTGGAAGAACCAATCAAAGGGAAAGTCAGGAGAAGGGGGGGACTGGAGTCGTATGGTGTTTGCACGAAATGTCACTGAAACGGGCTCCAAAATGGCCTCTACGCAACCTTTCAACCTGAAACAAAGCACACACACACAAATATAATGTTGAGCGTTCCCACCTGGCCAAAATCGATGAGCCCCACAGCGTCTCGGCCCTTTCCCACCAGGATGTTGCCTTGGCCAGACTTGTCCGACCCTTGACAACCAGTCAACTTTTCGCACATGAAAAGGGCAACGTGAACGAAATGTGTTCACTTCTTGCCAGTTAGAAGGGAAAATGAAATACACCCATGGCCAAACAGCAACTGCTGGCTAAGAGGGACTAACAGCAATAGCAATCAGTAAACCCAGGTTGCTTAACAGCAGCAAGCCGGGGGAGCCAAGTCTGGCCATGTCGCCAGGGTGGGGATCCGTGCTGAAGAGCCCATCAATCAATACCTGGTGCCCGTGGATCAGCCACAGCTTCTTGCTCAGCTCCTGAAACATGGCCATGGGTCAAACGCCAAATCGGGTAGCCCACAGTGAACATCCCAACTCAACCACTAAAATAGGTTCTAAAATGGGCGGTGAATTCACCTACGATCCCATGGTTTTGACCCACAGCCAAATTGGTATTGACCCACAGCCAAATCAGAAAGAGCACAATCCAAACCCAAAAAACACTGTCTTCCCTCTCTCACTCTGTGGGTCTGTGGCTCCTGACGCGGAACCAAGGGAATCAGCAAAGAAGAACCAACTAAACGCAAACGCTTGTGTGTGTCTGTGCGTGATCAAATGCTTGGTTTCATTTCGGATTCCCGTTTTCAATGGGGGGAGGGTGTGTGGGTGTTCCCCGTCTTTCAAAAGGATCTGCTTCTGCATCCCCACCTGGCCCCCCCCAATTCATCAGACAGGTCATACTTGGATCTGGGGTCAAGCTGAATTGGGGACGCTTTGGTGAACTATTCCCATGTTTGGGATCGACATGTCGACTCTGGACTAATCCACTTGATGAATCGTGATCAGGTTGGCTCGCCAAAAAGTGAAGGAATATCCATTTTCCCGGGGCGCCGCTATTCAGTCTAATACCCTACTTTGAGTTCTTGAGTGGATTGGCCAGAACTCGTCTGATTTTTTGGCCTACCACTCACATAGTGTTCCCAAATAGGATAAAGTTCAGGAACTCAGGGAGTGAGTATTCTCCAACCAGAGATTCACTCATCCTGGCTTCCCATTACCCAAATCGCACGAATCTGGCAACGTGTCCTTGGGATCAAAACTGGGCAGCGTCCTCAGGGGTGGGCGGTTCACTCTCGTGGTCTAAGCCACGGTTAAAGCCACCAAACTGTTTAAACCACCTCCTGGTGGATTACATGTAGGACCGAAACGGGTCTAGCCGGCCCCAGTTCTCGTCGCTTGAGTTTGAAGTCAAAACAGGTCAACCTCCTTTTGGTTTCCCTTCGAAGAAATCGGACTGAAAGGCGCCCAGTTGCAACCAATTTCGTCTGCCCGCCTGGAATAGGCAAGCTTGCTGGCCCCGAGTCTACCCGCGGAGGAGTTGTACAAGCCAACCCCAAAGTTACGCGCAGACCGGGACGTCGACATGCAAAGCCTCGACTTCCGTTGCGGGCGTCGCACCCGACCGGTCCGTTTTACGGAGGGTTCGACCCAAAGGAAGCCAACCATTTTTGGAGGTCTAGTATGAAATTCTAGGGGTCCGGGGTCCCCGACTCCCAATGTTTTTTTTTGGGTGGGGATGCCAATCGACTACCCCTGTGGACATGGAAGGTGTGTTGCACTTCCCCCGCCACTATCTGTTGGCTCGTGGTGTCAGTTGTGGCGCTTGAGGCAAGGGGTTTGCCAAATCGAAGCGAAAACAAAACACAACAAGACCTCCTGGCAACGAAAATGGGAGGGGTGGAGAACGGGGCCCTTTAGGCATGCCAAAGTGAGCCATGCCTACAACTACTTCGCTTCACAGGGGATTCCCTCGGTGTTCAAGGAAGTGACAGCCCTATCCCCAGCTTTCCACCACCGTTCAAAATGTGAGGCTTGGCCAATCCTAAACCCTAGGGACCAACTCCTTTCGTCGCGCAAGGGAAGGATCTTAAGGATTGAACCGAACAGCCCCAGGTGAAGCCACCAATCTTTCGCCATGCTTTTGTATAGCTGGCCCTCTGCAACAAATTGGAGGAGGGAAGGAGAAGCATTAAGGGATTCTGGATGGGTATTGATTCCCCAACCAGCTTCCCAACCTGGAATTCAGTTATACACATCAGACTCCATTGTTGGATGGATCAGATTTCAGCTATACACATCAGAAAGCTTCAGATTCCCTTGGATCAGAAGGCTTTCAATTTTTTGGCAGATTGGGGCGGTTGGTGTCCCCGATTCCCGTAAATCCCAAGCCGGGAAGGAACAAACACATGGCTGCGGGTCAATAATAGGTACCCAAAAAGGGGAACCTGGTAAATGGAACCAAGGACTAAAACCTGCGGTCCCCCGGTGGTTCTATTTTGACCCACACCCACATCTTAAGTCGGTTCAAAACGTCCCCTTCCAACCGACTCGAATTTGGAAGGAGGAAAGGTGGAGGAACCTGACCGAGAAGCTGCAAAAGCTTCAGCTTCGCGGTGTCTGGAATGCTGGGCAGCAGGGATGGCATCATGTTGGCCACAAGCAGCCGCCACCGTCTCTTCTCCTTAGGGTATCTTCGGAGATTCCAAACAGTACCACTAGAAGCCAAAGAAAGCCTCCAAGAAACACCGCATGTTGTTTTGGGATACCAAGCAATGTTCAAACGGGAAAACAGGGCAATCGCCTATTTGTTTGGGGTTCCCCGATTCTGAAACAAACCAATATGCAACACAGGAACTGCCCTCCCCCCCACCCCCGCATGTGTTTTGGCAGCTGACACTGTGCCGGCAGAAAGCACTGGCAGTATGTGTCTCCCTCCAATCTAGGGAGCAATTTGGAGATGTTTTCAACGTGAACCCAACATTTAAAGGCTCCAACGACTTCCGACACAAGGGATTTATGCAACACAATGGGACCTCCCTTGTTGTATACGTTGTATGCTGTAAAAGGAACACTACCTGCAAGGGTCCAACTCTGCTTGCGAGACTTATATCATGGGAATCCCTGGACACCCTCTTTGGTCTATACTTTTTGTATGGCTTGAAGGGGAACTGTGTATACTTTGTATGGTTCATTGTACACTCTGTATGGTTTAAAGGGGAAGCCACCAGGGGTTCAGCTCGTCATGCTGCGACGTATAGTATGGGTCCGGGCCAAGCTGCTTTGGGCAGGTCAATCCTGCCGGAGTCCTGCCGGATGAGCTCGGAGTTCTCCGAGTCCTTGGACGTAAAGTCTGCGATGAGATCTTCCACACTCTTGCCCCGCATCTTGGCGATGGCCTGGTCAGGTGCTTTGTTTTTTTTGTTTCTTGTTTTTTTTCTTTTTGATTTTTGTTTTCCCGGGAAGACCTCACTTGAAAGTGGGGTGGTTCACATATTCCGGGTGATATTCATCATATGAGACATTCGTTGCATGGCAATAGCTTTGGGAAACAGCTCCCTGAAACATCAGCCCTGGCAAACCAATGGCCTCGGTTGGCCATAAGAGCCCCGCTTTCTTTCAGGTCACTATTTGTGGTTTTCCAGGGTGCAGTTGGGTGAACGTAGATGTTTTCTTTAGTCCTTCCCAGTGTTTGCCCACATAAAAGGGAATTGTGCCATCTACTTTCACTTGTATAATCTCACTTGTAATAAGTGCAGGTAGGGTGGCCTCAAAGGATACCATCAATCAGACCAGCACTGCGGTTCGTGTGGGGAGGGTAACGGTTGCTCCAATGACACGACCGCCAGAGAACAAAAATAAGAGTTCCCACAGCCACTTGTTGTAAAATCCATATTTCGCGGTTGAGTATTCCGTTTTGGCCCTGGGGCCATGATTCAACATTCATCTTGGCAATAGCCTTGCACTGGGCAAACCTGAGGACCCCTGTGAAGTTTTCGGGTCTTGTGTGGCTTCCTCACAGTTGAAAAGCGAGACATGTGAGTCATGACCAACCGATGACTACATATGCCCAAAGCCAATGGAGTGCCGAATGAGTGTCAAGCAAACCCATATTTCCCGGTTCTTGCTGTCTCAAGTAGAATCTGGCCACCCCCTGGAAATATCACCCCTAGCAAGAAAGACGAGTGGTGGGTTGGTTGAGGTTCCACAGTTTCATCAAGCTTTACAAGGGAAACAGGAGCCATCAAACGAAACCCACGCACCGAACGGAAAAAAGCACAAACACAGATGCATGCGCGTACGAACACAGAGGTACATGGGCCCACAAACACACATACACACACACAGGGGAGACACACACACACACACAAAGACACAAACACCAACATAGACACACACACACACACACATCGTTAAATTCAGACTGTTCAGGAAATCCCCATCCCAGTGCCGTGCTTGTCTAAGTCTGGGACCTCTGCCATATCCATAATTGCGTCTAGAAGTGAATGGCCAGACAAATACCTCGGAAAGCAAGGCGGACAATGGACAAAGCGCGACAAAGGCTGTCGCAATCTGGCGAATTGAACATGGGTGATTCGGCACTTGGGTGGTTCAACTCAAATTGGGAAGCTTCTAAAACTGTCCCTGTTTCGTGTGGGCTTCGTTTGAAAATATAACACCACCATCCAAAAGAGTATCTGTCCCCCTAACCCTCACCGCCGAAGAGGAACTGACTCAAATGATGCCAAAGATGACGCCTGAAATCACCCAGCAAGGGACATATCGTCTCACCAACAAACATAAAAAGTGCACACACCCCATTTCAAAAAAGACATCCAATCTTTCAAAAGGAGTCCGTGCAGCATGCTTCTAAATTGGCAAAATATTTGATTCGTCTCAAACCTCCAAAAAAGGTTGGTTTCCTTTTGGTCCTTTGAAACCAAGCAAAAGACACACCCATATGACCAGCGAACCAAGGAACATATATGAGCAACGAACTGGCCTGTACTTCCACTCTCACCTCTCACAACCTACCGTTTTCCGAACTTGGCTTCTTCACCCCCCGAACCTGTTTGTTGGTTTCAAGAAAGCAGGTTGGGGGCTACGGACTTTGACCTGGAATGACCGGCCCGATATATTTATGATGTCCACAGGGTCCAACCAATGCAAATCCCTGCCCGTGCACTAGTTCTTGCAAATTTCTTTGAAACCTACAGGCCTCTTAGTTGGGCTTCTGATCAAAGGGTTCTCAGAACCTTTCCGGGGGGGCTTTTGATGATTCTTCTTACTGTCTCTCAAAATCACCCACGTGTTTGGATGGGGGCGCCTTCAGCAAAACATCCCCAGCGTCCCACGTTGCAAGCCCGAGGCGCGTCATAACCAGCACCCGGGGACTACAGAACTCCAAGATGGGCTCGGGTACCCGAACCTTGCGACACCCGGAGAGACCCGGAAAGACCCACCCTCCCACCCAAAACCGGGGGGGTGGGGGCGGGGGTGGTACTAAAATAGACACAGGTCACCGGTCACTGGATTTCCCCAAATCCAGTGTGGCGATTTGGTGGTTTACTGATGGCTTCCACTGCAACGAGCGCCACTTTGCATGGGCCCCGAACTCTTGAGTGTGATAACAAATGAGACCCGCGCCCTTTGCTTCAGATCTGAATTGAACTCGGTTTAGATTCATCGCCACCAGCCAATTTTAAGGTGGTGAGTTGTTCCACAAATGGAGCTCTGGATCGGATAGCTTCAAACGGAAACCAAAAGGAACCCAGAACTTGACCTCGCTTCCTACGTGAATTGGCAACAGGTCAAACTATGGTGTTTACCATTTGAACCAACCAAAGGCCCCTACAACCCACGATTGTTCTTAGAACGTTCTCAGAACGGGCTCTTACATCTGAAAAGGGGTTCTGAGAATCCTTCTGGTGTAGGGCGCCCTATACAATTATTAGCCTTGCAATCCCCTTCCAACATTGCCATGGAGCTTGACCTCGTTTCCAAAATGTAGATTGGCCCGAAGCCAACACTTGTTGTTTACTCAACTTCCGAAAGAACCTTTACCAATTTGCGCGTGTTGTGTCACGTTGCTCGCTTGGGGCGCGCTTCCGCACGGCTGGTTCCGAAGAGATTACTAAGCGCCTGGCATCTGGAAATTCTTTGCACAGGCCAACTCGAACTCGCAGCAGATTGGATGCCTCCTTATTGAAATCCAACTCGTCGATGTAGTGCTTCTTCCTTGGGCGACGCATGCTACTTGCCTGAGGAGTCGGACCATGTGGTAAGGGTCGTTTGAACAATGCTTGAACATCGTCCAACCCAGGCCAAACATAGAAGTGTCTTTTTCGAGGGTACCCCTTTTGTGGTGGTGTTAAAGAGAACTAAAAGGACAACCACCAATTGTGGGGTCCCCTAAAAGAAAGCACACCCACATTTCTACATGTCTTGGCCGAAACTCGCTTCCCGCACCTCATCAATCTTGGACTTGTCCAGAAGCCACACGATTCCTCGCCGTGGCAGGTGGTTCGCCAGGGGTTTAGCAGCAACTGCCATGTGGCGTAATGCCCACCCAAGATTGGCGAGATGTTCACTTGTGGCTGGCGGAACATAGGAAATCCAAAAGGGCAAAGGGACACAACGGCCGGGTAAGTCTAGAAATGACGAATAATAAAGGACCACCCCTCGTATGGTTGGTGTCCTTGTTCCATTGCAACAGCGACGTCCAAGAGACAGTTCTTGGCCCACATCTAGGGCTTACAGCAAATCACATTTTCGGATTGTGGCTCATATTCAGGAAAAACACCATTAACATATGTGGCTCAAAAAACCGGTACCAAATGAAACCCTGGCAAGTGGAAACATGGACCAAAACCTGCGGTTTGCCCCTGCTGTTTAATTTCAGAAGGCCAGAAAACACCGTAAAACACAGTGGTGTGTAGCATGTTCATGTTAAAATAACATCCCCACCAACACCCGGCCTCTTTAATTTTGAGCCACGCCCATATCTTGGAGGAGACCCAAACAAAGTCTGACAATCCCAGTGTCATGCCAATTCGAAGGCTGCGGCCAAGCTGCGCTCGCAATTCGTGAAGTCGGCTTCAATGGTCTGGGAGACTTCCGGGTATTGCACCTTCAGTTTGCTCAGATGCCCAGTGACAATAGGAAAAAAGGGCACCCAGTTTTTGGTTGGTTGAGTTTAAAGGGGAACCCTCACCCAAACAAGGAGAACAAAAGGGCACCACTGGGCAACAGAGTTTGGACGCACGCATTGTTGTTCTCTAGCACAAGCGCTCGGAACCCGTTTGATAGAAGCCAGTTTCGCGTTGCCCTGACCCATGGTTCCAGACCAATCGTTGTACTCCTGCAAACTAATTAACATGTAAATCCAAGAAGCCTTCTTTTGTTTGGGGTTCCTACAAAGCAGCGGAGTAAATCTGACTTCACGGGGATTGGTGTCAGGGGCCTTCGTCATGGGCTCGATTCACACCCGTATAGCTCGTCACGAATCAGGCAACTGGGTTTGTCTTTGTTTGCAGGGTAGCCTTTTTGGGGTAGACAGTTTGTTGGGTCCCCATTTTGACACACACACAAATACATTCACTGTACGGTGTTCGTGCACAAATCCATGGACAGTTTTGGTGCTACGCTTGCCAAGAGCTTTGGAAGGCTATGACTGCATCAAACAGACTTGGACATAAGCGTGAGATTTGAACATTTTGGATGCACGACCGGCACCTCTGAGAATTCAGCTTATTCTGAAGGGGCATTGGGTTTGGGAGTTTGGCGGATCGGGTTAGCGGTGGTCAGGGGGTTTACAGGGCTTCGAAGGGTTTAGCGAGTTTGAGGTTTAGAGTTTTACAATTCAGAGGCTTAGGGGAGTAATGCTTCGGGCTGGCTTGGTTTAGGCTTTAGGTCTTTTGAGGTTTAGGCTTTGACGAGTCTAGAGGTTTAGGAATAGGGCCTTCGTGAGAACAAGCATTGCTGCCGTTCCAGCCAGCCTATCGGTCTCAAAGTCACACCCCAACAAGGTTGATGGGCGGGTTGTCCATCCCCAAGAGTCAAACCACTCCCAACAAGTCCCAAAAAGGGGAGGGGGAACCCCAACAACAAATTGACAGATCCCTCTACTCGCGATGCTGTTTGTTAATTCCGAAGATAATTTCCCCTGCACTAGTCACTTTGACTCAGGTCGAGGTGACAGGTTGCTGAATTTTGTCGTAACACTCCTTACAAGTTCTTTCCGGACTTCACGCCTTAAAGGGAAACACATGATCAACATGGCGCATGTTCAAATTCATCCAGCATGGGACGTCTAAGGACCCTTGGATTACGCCCTTGGTGATCAACGTGGAACCCACAAAGGAATTTTCACTGAAAAGGGGACCCCAAAAAACCAAGTGAGGGGGGTGATTGATCAGAGGTTGACATTGAACCTCTTTTTGACCTCCCTGTCCTAAATCCGACTCAACGGCGAACTTCCTCCTGAGCCGCACGGCGCGAACCGCCGTCGCGGGCCCTGCCTTGACCACAACCTCCAGGCCGCTGGCTGCCAGCTTTGCCCGGTGCACTTGGCCGATGCTGGCCGAGCCAATGGGCACCTGGCGCCACGTCACGCGAAAAGAACGGATCCCTGTTGACCGCAGCCTTCGGGGCGGTTGGTGGCAAACACCCAGATGAGACCGCCTGAGACAAAGGCCGAAGTCTGACTCTTGCTGGATGGCTGGGCCCGAAAACTGAATCACTCCTGACAACGGGCGGAAAGATTGGTTTTTGAAAAACAAATGCTTGATAATAATTAGGAATCAACCCAACAAAAAAACATGGGGCACGGCCGAACTCGCTTGAGCCAAACTCATACGGAAACAATCGGGTTGTGCCCACTCCCCCCGACCACTGTCAAGAGCCACAAGCCTTCATGGTTGCGAATGTCGTTAGTACTTGCCTAGGTCTATGTTGATGTTGGCTCACCATCCTCAGCCCGCAAGCTCATGCAAGCCCGTTGTAATTATTGTTACGCCAAGAGCACAAATCCCGTTATAAACGCGAGAATCCCTAAGCGGGCCGCCCATAACTTCACCAAGAGGACCCCTCCCAACAGTCACCAAAGTTCCTTTCCTGCCAACTCAACGTTCGAGTCGAACAATGCAAGCCAGTTGGGTGCAATTCATCCACCACCACCTCCCCTCCCCCCTCGCCCCCCAAAAAAAAACACCAAACAAACAAAACACTGCAAAAGAAAGAAGGCTCACTTTTGGCCCGTGACCACCTTTTCAGAAACTTCCTTCCCGTCCTTCCCATGGTAGCCCTTCAAAGGTATTTGCCCAAATTCGCGAACCACCAACCCAGGTTCCCTCGTGCTTTCCATTTCCAAAACGAACCCATCCCAGCTGCAAATTGTACCATACTTCCAAAAGCTGAATTCAGGGATCCCCAGGAAAAAGGACCATTCTCCTGGATTCCGCTGGTTCCTTCGCCTCGGAACCGCTCGCGTCGTAAAATCGGCAGATCCGCCCGTCCCGCCTCGTCGAAGCGGCTGAAAACGGCCTCCAGTGGTTGGCCCAAGGCCTCGGACACCAAGCGCCGCACCTCTCGCCCGCAGCGCGGGGGCACGCGGCACTGCAGCGACTTGAACTCCCTGAGAAATGGCTCGGGCAAGACCCCGCCTGGGATTGCAACCAGCTCGTCCAACAAAAAAATGCGGAAAGATAAATAAAGGAAGCACACCAAGGACCATGGCTCTTGCCACCCCAACCGCTTTTTCAGATCCCAAACTCGTCATTTGGGCCCCACCAAAAACTTGCTTGGGGTTGGAAAAACCGCCCCTCGTGAGATCCATTTGGAAGCCCCACCCCCAACTGCCAAGGCTAAATGCGGGCATATTAGATGAACCCCTGGTGTCCACCCCTATCAGCTTTTTAGCTGCCAACCGCGGCTTATTCAGCATGACAAGTGGGCAAGACTGCAGCGTAGTGTTGGTCCGTAACTAAGAAAGGGGTCTACGGTCAAGGAGCTGGGGAGCAGCGACAGCATCTGCCCGATCTTCACCTCAAATGTGTGGACTCCCATGGAAAAAACGATTTGGAGTAAGATTGTTCTCCTGGTTGGTTTGAAAGGGAAACCGAATCCACCCCGAAAAAAACAACAAGTCGAACAAGGACATGTAAATTGGCACCAATTTACTCTCTTGGTTGGATTGAATTGGAACACCCCCCCACCCCACCAAAAGTCGAAAAAGGAAAAGTGCCAGGAGATCTGGGTCGCAAAAACCCCGCCCTGCTCCACCAGAAGCCGTAGGACCCGCGGCGCGTACTTCTCGTGCAGCGGCGCGTAGGCGCCCTGCACGTCGAGGCCGCTGTGGTTCGCGAACTGCAACCAGTAGTACCTGTCGAACTACTAGGTCCTCCAGTAGAGAGGTTAGAATAAGTTGGTACCTTTTTTTCTGTAGTCTATTTTGGTAGTGGAACCCCTCCCCCAAAAAAGGGTAACAGGGCACTACTGGACTAACGAAAAACGGGAGAAACGGGATACCCTTTTAATAATGGAACCTGACGTTGGGTGTCCCTTTAAAAGGAGGCGTGAAAATCCAGGACCCACCAACGTATATGAAATTGCCAATGGCATCACCACCAACTGAAGAAGCATTTTTTGTTGAAATTCTCCGATAGAAACAGCCCGCCTCTCCAGTATTTGCCCACCCTGACTTGAGAACTCCCCAGCGTGAGTAATCAAAACCGCATGGTCTACCCAAAATCTACGTGTGGTAAAGAACTGAACCGGCCGCACCCTATATGGTTGGAACTATCCCTCACCAACCTCTATCCACTCGGGTTTTCATTGTGGCTCAAGTAACCAAAACAAGGTGTCCCCCCAAATCCCCTTTTTTCTTGTCTTCCCCCAAGGGGAAAATGGACATGTGAAGGAAATTGCAGCTTTCAGGGTGGAGGTTTCAAAGTTGTGAACCCAACGAATGGGTGGGTTAGTGTGTCAGTGCCTAGTGTTACCCACTTGCTGTTCTCTTGAAATCTTCACCACCACTCCCATTTCAGCGTGCCGCTCCGTTCCCCTTGCAACGTGGCAACAAGGGGGGGGGAAGAGGGACCCTGCTGGTTGCAAGCAAGGTACATGAGCTTGTACTCGCAAATCAGGGGCCAAAACACTGCCCAGGTGCGTGCGAGCCGTCTCAAGCCCTTGCACTGCTCGCTCCTGCCTGGTCAAGCTGACCCTCTGCAAAACAGGGGGTTGTATATATTATCCACCTGAACATTGCCCTCAACATGTCGTCTTTTTTCTGTTTGTCTGGTGGACAAGTTAATGCTTTGAATGGGTACATATGAGGATTGGTCCGCTTTTGACTGGTGAGTGGTGAACACGCCCCTTTGTTCATCACCCCGCAAAAAGGAGACTCACCTTAAAGCGGCAACCAAAACATTATGTTCCCCACCAAATGGGGAAACCCAGCCGGAACCCGGGCAAAAAACTCATGCTGAAAGGGTATGATTGCTACCGATGAGTGGTGAAACAAACATGTTATTTGACAAGTCAAAAAGTTACTTCTCTCGCAAAGATCTTCACCGAGCTGCAAGCCAGCCAAACCGCCGTTGCAAAGAGATACACCAGTGTGGCCACGCGCACCGAGAATTCGCCGTCCAAAAGGGCGAAAGCCGCAACCAAAGCCAGGCTGGCCCACAGGCTGGTGCGCAGGACTGTGGATATCCTTTGAGGGAACGGACCACCTGTTTCAACATGTTTCAACAACTCCTGCAAACAAACTCATTTTGGTTTCCCTTAAGGGGTTTTGCCTTTTGCACGCGGCCAAACCAACTCCTTTTGGCTTGCCGTTAAATTATTCAAGTTTTAGGGATGCCAAACAGCCTCCTTTTCGTTTCCGCTTTGTAGTACAGAAATTTGCAACTGGGGTCTGTTTTCTCTTTTGAGGGTACCATTCGCAATTTTGACACATGCCCAAGCTGGCTGTTTTTAAGCTTTCCCCCTCCACCCCACACTCCCACACCCCCACCCCTCTCGAAAAAACACACACCCAACTGGGTCTTGCTTGTTTGACCCGTTTTTCCGCCCACCAACTCGTCTCCTCTGACCTGCGACGCCATCCTGCCCTGGCAAATCCAGCCGGCTCCAAATAAGCATAGTGACCTTCGTGGTTTCTTGACCCTTGCCAAAGCACTTTTGAGTGGGATATGTCATGTGCTTTTACATATACATGACAAGTCCAAAAGCTAAACTCTAAAAAGCCAAAATGCTAAACTAAAAACCACAGTCTACAAAGCTACGTTAGAACGCTAAACTCTAAAACTCTATATAAACGTATCAGAGTCGTAATAAAAAGGTAAACTAAATCACTCAGCTACCAAATTCTGAAAGTCGAAGGACCGGTAGAGCTGAAAACCGAGTGGCCCAACAAATTGCCGGTGCCAAAACGATCAGCGTGTACTCCGCGGTGTAGAGGGCATGCACTGGGTACACCAGCAACCGGGCCAACGTTCCCTGGACATTTTGGTTCGCAGAGACCCTTGGACCTGGAAAAGGACCCCGTTGACCAGTTTCTACTTCATTTGAGCTGGCAGCATTGTGGGTCCGTAGGAAAACAAAAGGACTCCTCACCATCCAAGGGCTATCACCCGCTACCCGAAAAAATGCATCAATTACTTGAGGTTTCTTTGAGGCAATTGAACAGGTGGCCAATACCAAGGTTCGACCCTTCTGGCGCCCAGTCATTTGAAGAGCCTGGCCTTCGGGTGCTGCAAAAGTTGACATCGCAGAGCCACATGGACCAGCAGAAGTGTCAGCAGCGCCTGTGCCTCGCAGGGTTGTGCAGTCTGGCAGATTGGTCCTCCATTTTAACAGTGGTTCTTCCCAAAACCTAGCCATGCCCTTGTTTTCTTGTGGTTCTCTGGAAAGAACGAGGGTCTAAAGGTTGGTGACTACTCCTATTAACATCCTATGCCCTATCGTGCTTTACAGAACCATGCTCCTCGGTTCTCGGCCGTTTTCAGGAAAAAAATGGGGGAGTACTGCTAGAAGAGCTTATTTGCCTCCTCTCAAACAACGATGTCAGTCAAAACGCGATCTGCCAAAATTCGAACCACCCAACAAGGGAGGAGACGAATTTAAGTTCCCGCGGCTCCACAATGCAGTCTTCCCTGCCACTTGGCCTAATTCTGGGGCGCACCTTCAGACTCTGCTGCTTCATGTTTAGTCCATACCCTGTAAAATAACACAACTTTGGCGAAGACTCTATGCTTAAACATGCGAAACCGATAGTTCTACTGAATCCCCATTCTTTTCCTGGCTCCATTCTACCTGCTAGAAACTATGCCATTCACAGAGACGACTCACCCGTCCCGCAAACTACCATGAAACCAAAAGTGGGCATCCCCCAAATGTTGGGAACGCCCAAAGTCCGCCTTGCGCAGCCACTTCCGCTCTCTCTGCCCTGGGACGACCTCCGGCACGGGCGCCCCCCTGCGTCGGCGCCTACATCCGAGCCGCCGGCGCCCGGAGCGCGAGGCTCCGGAGGCTCCGGCGGCTCCGGCGCCGGACTCCGGGGCCTCTAAATCCGGCAGCGCCTTGCCCAAAAATCGGCCGGAGGGGGGGGGGGAATTGTGGACACTCGGGGTCTTCTGACCTGAGACTGGCCAAAGTGACCTCAAGTTGTTGGCCCTGGACTGACATGATGAACTGCTCTGGCACAGAACTTTACAACCACCTATTCTTGAGGAACTGACTAGGGTTTAGGCCTGCAACAAAAACAACTCGAAGTGTCCATGGCACGGAGGGTGGGTGTGGGTGGGGGTGGGTGGCCCGCGTTCCAAGTATTCGGTTCCCGCAATGTGCATTCGTGTGTCCCCTGGTCTTTGTGGGAAACTTTGCGAGTTCCTCGTGTCCCGAGCATAGACGCAAAACGCTACCAGCATCTTGAACTGAACCTCAAACTTGACACCTGTCAAACCAACCGGAAAGTAGTCATTGAGGTTGAACAACCTTTGAGAACTCCAAAGTCAGGGCAGCACGCTTCACCTCCAAAAGGTCAGGCAAAAAACCCCTTTGAAGCTTCCTCCCCCCCCCCTTTGTGCTCACATGAACCTCCCCTGGCTTCGGCTTTCAATGGAAGACCCGGCCCCTCCATTAGACACCCTGGAGGTAGTTCAGGGTCTCAAAACCTGGTGGTTTGAAGGCCCTAAATCAATCGGGAGCCTCTGGGAAAGAGGAAACCGCAAGGGATGTGGGTCCGTGCCCATTGAACCATCAAGAAAACAGGGCTCCTTATCCGCCGACCCCTTCTCCTCAAAGGGGGAGGCGCACGGGAAGGGTGGTTACAGCACAAGTCCAAGGTTGGTTGGTAAATGAGCATAGCCGAAGATTCAACATTATCAGCGTAAGCAATACCGTCATCGTAGCAGAGGGTGCGTAGTCATGATTATCATCATGACTGTTGGTGATGCAGAAGATGCACGATGATGGTTATCGTCCATGATGACGATGACGATGATGATGATGATGCTGATGATGCTGATGATGATGACGATGGTGATGATGACGACAACCATGGTGATGATGACACGCTCATCGTCATCACATCATCATCGTTGACGATGATGATGACGATGATGACGATGATGATGATGACGATGATGCTGATGATGACGATAATGACCACCATCATGGTGATGATGACATGCTCATCATCATCACATCATCATCGTTGTGACCTGATTGGAGATGCAGAGGATGCGTAGACATGATTATCATCATGACTGTTGGTGATGCAGAGGATGCACGATGATGGTTATCATCGATGATGATAACGGTGATGATGACGATGACGATGACGAGGATGATGCTGATGATGATGATGATGATGACACGCTTGTCAGTATATCACATCATAATCGTTGTCGTCCTTATCTTGTTAAAATAGGTTTCAAGGGTAGCGTTAGACCCGATTGGAGATGCAGAGGGTGCGTAGTCATGATTATCATCATGACTGTTGGTGATGCAGAAGATGCAAGATGATGGTTATCGTCCATGATGACAACGGTGATGATGACGATGACGATGGTGATGATGAGAATCACCACCATCATGGTGATGATGACATGCTCATCGTCTTCGCATCATCATCGTTGTGACCTGATTGGAGATGCAGAGGATGCGTAGACATGATGTTGTCGTCCTTATCTTTTTCTATCTACGTTTCAAGGGTAGCGTTAGAGCCGATTAGATGCAGAGGGTGCGTAGTCATAATTATCATCATGACTGTTGGTAATGCAAAGGATGCACGATGATGGTTATCGTCCATGATGACAACGGTGATGATGACGATGATGATGATGATGCTGCTGCTGATCACGATGATGATGATGATGATAATGACCACCATCTTGGTGATGGTGACATCATCACATAGATATCATCATCGTTGTGACCTGATTGGAGATGTAGAGGGTGCGTAGACATGATTATCATCATGACTGTTGGTGATGCAGAAGATGCACGATGATGGTTATCGTCCATGATGACAACGGTGGGTGATGATGACGATGACGATGATGATGATGCTGCTGATGATGACGATGATGACCACCATCATGGTGATGATGACATGATGATGACGATGATGATGATGACGATGATGATGATGATGATGACGATAATGATCACCATCATGGAGATGATGACATGCTCATCATTATCACATCATCATCGTTGTGACCTGATTGGAAATGCAGAGGATGCGTAGACATCTATTGGAGATGCAGAGGGTGCGTAGTCATGATTATGACTGCTGGTGATGCAGAAGATGCACGATGATGGTTATCTTCCATGATGACAACGGTGATGATGACGATGACGATGATGATGATGATGCTGCTGATGATGACCATGATGATGACGATGATGACCACCATCATGGTGATGATGACATGATGATGACGATGATGATGATGACGATGATGATGATGATGACGATGCTCATCATTATCACATCATCATCGTTGTGACCTGATTTGAGATGCAGAGGATGAGTAGACATGATGTTGTCGTCCTTATCTTTTTTTTTATATACGTTTCAAGGGTGACGTTAGAGCCGATTGGAGATGCAGAGGGTGCGTAGTCATGATTATCATCCTGACTGCTGGTGATGCAGAAGATGAACGATGATGGTTATCGTCCAGTAGAGGCTCATCGCCGGTCACCCCGCAAGCCAACCAGCTTTCTCGCCGCAAGTCGGGGCCGCGATGGGTCCCCTGTTGTAGCCAGGGTGCGGTGCATTTTTGCTTTGCTGTCGCGTGAGATGATGATGATGATGATGATGATGATGATGATGATGATGCTGAACTGACATGATAATCATCATGACGCATCCTCAGCATCACCAGCAGGCATCATGATAATCATGTCCACGCATCTTCTGCATCTCAAATCGGCTCTAACGGGACTGATGATGATGATCATGATGATGATGATGATGATGAACTGACATGCGTCCTCAGCATCACCAGCAGTCATGATAATCATGTCCACGCATCTTCTGCATCTCAAATCGGCTCTGACGGGACTGATGATGATGAGCACCGTGATGATGATGATGATGAACTGAGAGTGTGATCGTCATCATCATCATCATTGTCATCATCATCATCGTCATGATCGTCATCACCATCGTGACCATCGTCGTCATCATCACGGATGATAACCATCCTCTGCATCACCAGCAGTCATGATGATATTCATGTCTACGCATCCTCTGCGTCTCCAATCAGGTCACAACGATGATGCTGTGATGATGATGAGCATGTCATCATCACCATGATGGTGGTCATTATCGTCATCATCATCATCATTGTCATCATCATCATCGTCATCATCGTCATCATCATCGTCATCATCATCGTCATCATCATGGATGATAACCATCATCGTGCATCCTCTGCATCGCCAGCAGAGCATGTCATCATCACCATGATGGTGGTCATCATCGGCATCATCATCATCGTCATCATCATCAGCATCATCATCATCATCGTGATGCAACGTCACGGCACATGCTCCCAGCAGCAGCAGAATTGTAGGCACTTACAGCGGTGCATTTTCTTACCAGATTATTACAAAAAAGCACCAAGCCAAGGAAAGAAAACGATCGCTCCAGAATGCATCATCATCATCATCATCATCATCATCACAGAGCTCATCATCATCATCATCATCATCAGTCCCATTAGAGCCGATTTGAGATGCAGAAGATGCGTGGACATGATTATCATGATGCCTGCTGGTGATGCTTAGGATGTGTCATGATGATTATCATGTCAGTTCATCATCATCATCATCATCATCATCATCATAAAAGCGGTGCATTTTCACGCGAAAGCGAAGCAAAAATGCACCGCACCCTGGCTACAAGAGGGGACCCATCGCGGCCCCATTTTGAAGCGGCCCCGTTCATTTCAGCCATTCCCAAACTGGTTTTGGTTTGGGGTCGGCGGCACTGGGCGGCAGCCCTTTGAATCCGGCCACCGGACGTGATCGGGCCGCAGGCCAAAGCCCGTTAGGGCTTACCTTCAGGTATAAGGCCGCGTGCCCCATGCCGCCGACCATGCGCAGAACATACGCCGACCATGCGCCGACCATGCTCCGACCATGCGCATACGTTTTGTACTGGGCCCACCTTTATAAGGGGCGAAGGATTCGCGGAGTGGCTTAGACGATTTCCGAGGATTTTTGTAGCATCTCCCCGCAGCGTCCAAAAACGAGTCCAAAAACGAGTATTTTTACGGGGTGCCTAATACCGGACTACACCCCCAGCATTGCCAGCATCATCCCGGACGATGCGGATGATGCTATGCATGCTGGCGATGCGAAACAAGGGCTGAAGGGGAAATACAAGGAAACAGGAGTGACTGGAAGTGAACGAAATGAAAGTCAAAGGAATTGCACGAAAATGAAGCGGGAACGAAAAGGGAAAGGAATGCGAATAACGGAGTCTTCAAGGAAATGAAGGGAGCTGAAACGGCAGTGAAGTGGAAGGAAGTGAAGGGACATGCCAGGAAACTGTCAGGGAAGACATGCAAAGAAAGTGAAGTTCAAATTATCCCGAGAAGTAACAGGACTTAGAGGGAAAGGAAATGAAAGAACGGAAAGGGGTGCCGGTGGCCGGCTGTGTCGCGTCAGCGTGTAAATATTTCCCCTTAAAACATCACCCCCACCAAAGACACTCACATTTCATGAGCCAAAAAGGTGAAGTATAAAACCACCAGAAAGGGAAATATAGGGACCCCTGAAAATGGCCAGAGATCTTAGGCGCTGCTCCCACAGCCCCGTCTTGGGGTACCCGTCTGCCCTGCCTTGGATTCGGGCTGTTCCCGTTGATGCAAGCTTGGTGAAACCAAGAAACCTGGAAGTCTCCATGACATGGGAACCCCTCATTTCATAAGAATTGAGACTACAGGTGGTTCAAAATCAAGGAGTTGGCGACCCAACAAAAGTGAAACAAAGGAACCGATCGGCTCCTAATTTCAGCTTCCAGATTGGTTCAGCTTCCATTTATTTATCTATTTATTTATTGATTTGCTTGTTTATGTACTTATTTGTTGTTCTTCTCTTGTTGGTTGGTTCTTAAAGTGAATCCATAAATACTGGACATTGTTTTTGCAATTGTTTCAGGGGACGTATTCGCAACTGGAGGTGTATATTTTGTTTTGGATTCGGACCCCTCCAAAAGGTGCAACGGTGTTCCATGTAGTTTCCCTTCAAAACCACAAAAAGGGGGTACCCGGACCCTCAACATTTCTATCCGTTGAAATGAGCGCTGCTTGAGGTTCCAGACAGATGGAGGGAACTTCCCCGGCCTGCGGCACCAGGCGTGGCCGATCGTCCATGACCCCCCTTGAGCCCAAAGACGCGTGGGTTACCTTCAAGTCGCGCCACGAAACCCGCCCGGTACTTGGGGGGGGGGGGTTCCAAGTGATGGGTTCCAAAAACACCAACTGGAAACTGCAACAAAACGCTCTTGCAGCAACTTGCAGAAAAGCACAGCAGATCTCAAGGATCCACAAGCCTTAAGCAGTGGCTTGTATCTAGTTTCAACCAAACTGACCCAAAAAGCACACCAATGCGCCCAACTATCAGGTCATATTATGTGGGTAAATATGTGTGTATATATATATATATATATGTCCACCCTGTCACGAATCCCCTAGTTTCTTGGTTGATTGTCCGTTAATTGTCGCTGAAGTCAGCTCCAACCAGGGGTCAAAATTGTCATGGGTTCATATACTGGTATGTCTTCAGAGGGGGCCCCTTCCCCCACATCAACAAAAAGTCCCTTTCAAACAACCCCAAAACGGGTGCCAACTGAAACAAATATGAATGCCGACTATAATACCACCAGAAAGAAACCTTCCCAAACCCTTGGTATGGTACCAACAAAGGTGGTTTTTTGCAGCCCCCACTACAACACATGAACAGAACAAACAAACTAAACAAATTCAAAACTCATACACACGCACAGAACAGTAGAGGAGGCCCAAAACCGATACCTCAGATGCTCCGTGAGCTTGGCCCCGCGCGAATCTGGGCACAAGCGCCCGACCGTGCCATCTGCGGCCACATCCAGCAGCAGCAGATCAAGCGCTGGCAGCCCCTGGCAGGGGGCGATTCAATCCCTTGCTTGGCCATCTGCGGTGCACAGAATATGGTATCTTTTGGATTCTGTGTCATATTCAGCAACCCCTGGCGCATATACAATAATGTTGGAATAAAGCTTAAACATGTTCAAAGTAGTGCAATGGTAACTGTTGCGACGCGGGCAATTTGATGAGTTGCAGCATGAGAAAAGCGTTCTTCGCCTGCGTCGAACCTGTCTGCGGCTTCCGCCAGTAGCACGTCGTACTCAAGTAGTGTCATACACCTGAAGGCTTCTTTTTGGCGATCATTACAGAAGGCCAACTTGATCGCTGAAGCACTCCATGCTATATGAAAGCGACCTGCTACTGGCCAAAGTGCGAGGCAGATCTCATTCGAAATGGCCCACCAGAGAGATGAAGATGCACACGTGGCATTGGACGAGAAGCCGAAACCCTCCACCGCTACCCCACGCTTGCTGCTGAGAGTGCGATGTGAGGACATGTCGCTAAGGTAAAGCGAGATTTGCGGCGAAACAGTGAACAACGGACACATTCCCCCGCATCGCTAAGGGGATCCGACTTCAACATTGCCCCACCCTGGTCCCCCTTCTCCTGCTCCAATGGGGGTTGCGAAATGTCCACCCTTGGATTTTGAATATCTAGAGGCTTGGAGCAACCCTGGTCAATGTTCAACTCAAAGTCCTCATTTTAGTAAGGGCAAGAGTTGGATACCAGTCAATATGATTTGGGGCTTGTTTTGACACAGGAGATCTGGGCAAGCGCAAACAGGCCATGCTTAGGGTACCCAGTACCAACGAGTATGTGGTAGGTCAGTGTGGCAAAGCCATGCGCGAGAGGTAGTACTGCTCGCTCTCGGGCATTGCCTCATCACTGTCCACGAGGACGCTCTCGTCCCTTAGCCCGGAATGCAGCATGCGCAAGTTTCATTGCACGCAGCAGCCTGCGTTGTTCAAAATAATCGGGGGGAAGAATCCCTAATCCGAGAGTTCGTAGTGGGGCACTGGGACAACAAGTGACATTAGTACCATCTTGAAGATCTGGTAGAAGGATTAACCATCGATTTTGAACAACTCAGTAAGCGCAGGTTTGATGGCACGCTGCAATCCACTGAAACTATGGTTTGCCGCTATCAACACACTCCGAATGGTAAGTGAAGAAAGAATGCGCAACAATTCGCCGCTTCTGAATTTGAAAACAAGTCAGTCAAATGTTGTCAGGTAACCTTCACGACACTCACTGTGATGTGGATGTCTCCTCAAATCTTGAAATCGTTGGTGTACAGCAGTTGTCCCTTTCTCATGACCCAAAAACGCAAAGAATTCCATCTAGTTCGCTTCCATTGACATCCGAATCAAAAAGAGAACCCCAATTCAAGGGGCCCTGGACCGTCTTGGCTCCTGGCTGCATACAGATTTCAGCCTAGGCAGTCCGCGACGCGAGTCTCGCCTCCTAATTGGAAGACCCGTTGGACGTTCCAACAAATGGGTTCCAAAATGCTGCACACCGGTGCTAGGGATCAGAACAAATGGGTCCAAAGAATCAGACGCTCTAACAAATGCTGCACACATGATTGTCCTTTGGTGCAAGGGTTCAGAACCCTTTTATTGAGACCCGCTCTGCATGGGTTCCCTGAACTGACATTCAGAGGCAGAAACCACCAAAGACGCCCGCCAACCACAGTTGTTCCCATTCTGCCCGTCGGAAGGCTAAAACGTTGGGCCCTGGGAAGCCAACGAACTGCTGAACAACGCCCGGGTTTTGAGCATCTTTGTGAGCTCAGCGAAACCGACCGACAAACATGATCAAGGACGTGTTCGGTGCGATTTGCAGGCGTGGAAGTTTATGCCTTAGGGGTATATACTGGTCCTACGGCAGTATATATATACGTATATATATATACTGCTTATGGTGGCGAACCTCCACACGTAATTCTGCCAGACCTGACAATGCAACCCGCCCAGTCCCAAAACGGGCCTCACGCATTCCAAAAGGGAACGGGCACCAAGCGATGGGTGTGTAAATCACGGAACTGCACGGGCTCCTACAATTGACTTACCTGAATTGAGGAACCTCAAAAACTTCATGGGCCCGAGTTTGTTTGTGCCCCCAGGTGGAGCTTGCCAAATGGACACTGAGAATCTCTGACCTTATCGATCGCCCGAACAATTTTCCGAATAATGACTGCCATTGTGGTGGTTTCTTTCTGAAAAGTGTACCTTGACACACACACACAAACAAACAAACAAGCAAATAAACAAGCAAACAAGCAAACAAGCAAACAAACAAACAAGCAAGCAAGCAAAACAACCAAACAAACAAGCAAGCAAACAAAGAAACAAACAAGCAAACAAGCAAACAAGCAAACACGCAAACAAGCAAACAACCAAACACACAAACAAACAAACAAACAAACAAACAAAGAAACAAACAAGCAAACAAGCAAACAAGCAAACACGCAAACAACCAAACACACAAACAAACAAACAAACAAACAAACAAGCAAGCAAGCAAGCAAAACAAACAAACAAACAAGCAAACAAGCAAGCAAACAAGCAAACAAGCAAACAAGCAAACAAGCAAACAAGCAAACAAACAAACAAACAAACAAACAAACAACAAACAACAAACAACCAAAACAAGAACCATAGCCAGTGTTCATGGCATCCAGACCTGACGAGAACTTGGCGAGTGCCATCATTTTCACATGGCAATCTGGTGAGTGCACACCCTTTGCTGCAGCAAGGCATGTTCGAATCTTCGTACTTGCTCATATCAGGGGGAGGGCGCGCAAACAAAAAAAAGCTGGGACCCCTCTTGGCTGACGTTTAAAGAGAAAGCGGCGAAAGACCTTCTATTCAAGAAACACACAACCCTCTGGGTGAATTATATTTCCTTCAACAAATAGAAGTGGGAGGATGCTCAACGCGGCATCGGAAGAGCTCTGGGCCCTTTTCCGTTTCAGGAGTGGGGTCCTCTTCAAAGTCAACCAACAAACAAAGCCCGCCCATAATCATCTGAATCAAAACCTGGCATTCAAATGATGGCCTACCAGAATCCATGTAAGGAAATAGAAGAGCCACCCGCACCAATTTGCGATTCGGACTATCCCCTCCAGGTACCCATGTTTTGATTCTGGCACACACGAGTTGCTGGTGACCTGCTGGTGGCACAATAGCCTAGTGGCTTCTCCTTAGCTAATCCAGGGATTCGCCCGGCATAGACCTATCCATGATCTGAGGAAGCAGGGCACGCCGGCTTCCCCGAAAACCAGCACCAAAACGGAATCAATAAGAAGACGCGCTGGAAATTCCGGGGCCCCGTGCAGTGTACTGTGCCGCGGCGCCCTCTGCTGGAAGCATCTGGGGCACTGGATGCACCTGTTGCGCAAGAACCGGCGAAAGCGCCAAGGGGCAGACACGAGGGTTGGTGTTAGCAGAACGCCTTCTGTACGGGGATTTGCTCAAAAGGCTGCTGATTCGAAGGAAACATCAGATGAGCAGAACTGAGAGTTTCCTAAAGTCCTTCTGAGGGCAGAATGCCCGTCGAATTTCCTCAGTTCCACTGCCGCCCAAATGGGGCAAGCGTCCATGAGTTTCGGCTTTGGTTTCGGGGTCCCGCCTTTGCCAGGCACAAAACCGTCAACATAGGAATCTGCGAAGCAAGACATTCAAATGGGGTTGCTCAAGGCATTCTTTTGATTTGACAACTCAAGATGGAGAGACGGAATCTAAATTGCACAATAACATGAACACATGAAATGACGATTCAACATGTTCGTCGAGCCCCCTCAGACGACTGCAAATGGGCTTGGCGGGAAAATTGTTGGCTTTGAATGGTCCCAATTCTAATTCAGTGTTGGGAGATTGGGGGTTCGGAGAGAAAAAACACATGTTGGTTGGTTGCATTTGTGAACACGGGGGAAGGCACGGCACAATGTTGCACCGCCATTTCGCAGCACCCAAAACCCGTTGACTTCTTGGCTCTGTGGCTCTGAAGTTCAAAATGAAAAACAACGGGCCTTACTACAACCATAAGACCAGGTTAGACCCGAACCACTAATGTGTTCTCATTTTATGTTTTCTCTTTTGGGGTCCTAAGGGGAACCGAACCACCCACTAAAATTGTGTTTTTTTCTTTGCCTTTTGGGCCCCCCCACCTGTGGCTCCGGGATGCCGCAGGCATCGATCCAAAGCTTCTTGGCCAACTGGAAGGACTCCTCCGGGATGGCACCCGAGGGCCGAGTGGTCCAAACACCTTAGGCTATAGCCCCGGTGGAAGGTACTTGGACTGGTTAACATGGCGCATGACCGAGGTGCTTTTGAAAGGAGAACATGCCGCCACGGTAATGGTCACCCAAAAGAGCAAATCTATCCGGATAGCTTTTCATGCGGCTTTCCTTGAACACAACAAATAGCCTTGGTACGAAGCTGACTGGCATGGCACTCGCTCTTCAGCCTCTTCGGGTTTTGATGTTTGGGTGTGTTGTTCGCCGAGTGGTTGGTTTTCAAAGCACAGGTAGGAATCTTAGGCATCTGGGGCAGGGTTGGTCCATTTTGCCTCCAAACCCCGCATGGTCGGCATGGCCCTCGCCAAACAACACACACACACACCGTCAAAATCGGTTTTGCCAACCTGCCGGTCGGCAGTCTCTTTGTATTCCCCGAACCACTAATATTGCCAGACAGGCTTGATGTGTCAAAGATATCCAATGATTCCCAGAGTCCTTTTTTAGACAATGATGGCACTGGCAATCATTTGATCCAAACTCTCACCAGTGGAATCAGGTATCTTAAACCAAACTGACCGTTCAAAAGACACCTGCTTGTCTCACTCACAAGCGGACACGTAGGGTTTCACCAAAAAGGATTTCTTGCCACTGGGATCTGGTTGACACCTGATGGGACTCCAACAACATGTTTCATCGCGTTTAAAAGGGCAGAAACCGCTTGATGACCATCCCTACCACCCCCAAGTGAAGGAACAAATGCCCATATGAGTGGTTGTCAAAATAGAGATCCTCTAAAAAAGGCCCTAAAACTGTTGGCGTCCTTTGGTTTTCCTTCAAAACCATCCAAAAGGGAGGCCACAATTTTGAGAATCTCCCATATAACTCACTTCCTTAGTGGAGTAGCCAAACGTAAGTCCAAACATGTTGGCTGCTTTCAAAATTGATAGGTTGCCGGTCAGAATGGATACTGTAGGTTTCCTGAGTTTCCAGTACAAAATGATCGGTTTCCTCTCAAAATGGATGTGTTTCCACTCAACATTGATGGGTGTCCTCTAAACGTGGAGGGCTTCCGCTCGAAATGTATGGGCTTCCTCTCAACAGTTTCTGTCAAGATTCAAGGGCTCCCACAAGTGCATATGACATATGGCATATGGTTTCTGTCTCTCCTCTGTTGGTCGCATTTTCACATGGATGGGGTTCCTCTCTCAACATGGGCGGGCTTCCTCCGAACATGGTTTGGGTGTCCTTTCAAAATGGATGTTGTACCTCTCAGCATGGAAGGGTTTCGTCTCAAAATGGATGGGTGTCCTCTAACAATGCAAGTGTTCGCTCTAAAGGTGGGCTTCTCGAAACGCGCCTCGTGCCAGTCTAGCTGTTTGTAATCGTCTTATTTCCATCTTCTACGTGAGCTCACGTCAATTACTCAGGGAATAAGTTGGTGTTTGGAGACCCGGCTTTCAAACCCACAACACACAACAACGAACATCGTTCTTTTGCCCTCCACTTTTACCTCTCATTGGTCCAGCTTGAGGTGCACCCTGCGATCTACTTCTCTGACCGCGCCTGGCTGTCCAGCCGCTCGCCGGCGAAGAACACATGCCACTTCTGGAAGTCTAGGCCTGCACCAGCGCTCGAAGAGACGGCGGTGACGCAGGAAGGACACATGGGCGCGCCTTTTTTTTGGGCGGTTTGCCCTGGCTTTTTGAGGGCATTGGGTGCTTAAAGGCAAAAACGCGACGGTTCGCAAGTTCGCGGCATTTGAGATGGGGAGAAGCCAAGTGGAAACTTTTGTTGGGGGTACCCTTTTCGGGGTTGTTTGAAGGGAAACCCAGCAAGAGAGGAGGCGGAAGGACCCCCCCATTTTGCGGAATCCCAAGTCTTGAGGGAATCCATACCTTGTTAGGATCCCCTTGGTGGGCGCAACTAGAAGTTGATGGTGAGCCTTGCTTCGGGGGGTTTGAAGGCAAAAAGGGCCCTGGAGAAGCTCGTCCATGGGCCATTACCCCCTACAGGCTCCTTATTTTCGCCTTTCTCAAGCCTCGGAGAGTTCGCACCCAATGGGACGTATACGGAGATCCAATGGATCATTTCCAAGGCGACAATGGTTCAAGGTGTGCAAAGGAGTAATACAGCACCCTAGTTTACACGGTTCAGAAGACACGGTTCAGAACATCTGAATCTGATGTGTTATTATTCGAGAAGCAAGGTACTGAGTCTGGCATGATCAAGTGCAACAAAAACACGAGCCATTGAGAAATGGTCCAATTTCATCAGAAACAAACATAGTCCATGTCAACAAGGATGCCAGGAAGCCAAGGAATAAATTAGATCGGCCACGTGCAAATTGGAACAAACTCGTATCATTTTCGCTCAAAGGCTCGTGCACAGCGCCCAGGCTTCCCATACTACACCTGAGAGGCGTCGGGGTCACAGACCAGATGGGTGCCATCTGAACTATTCTGGAAGAACAAGATGTTGCCCACAAAGGGCCTTACCACTTGTAGAAGGCCCAAGTTCTGAACAGCTCGGGTTTGAGCCTAAGCCATTTTGAAGGATGCCTCGCTCGCCCGTCGGTTTGGACCGGCGCGGCCTTGTTTGCTGAGGCTTTGCAAAGCCTTGCCGATGAGGGTAGCCCCCGAGACATCGGCCTGCATCCGATCGATCACTCACGCACGCACGCACTCCCTCGCTCAGTCACCGACTCAGTCAGTCAGTCAGTCGGTCGGTCAGTCAGTCAGTCAGTCAGTCAGTCAGTCAGTCAGTCACTACCTCGAAACCCCGGGGCTTCATGGGGTCTATAGTCACTATAGAAAGGGTACAAACCCAGATTCCCTAGGCGCACTTCTCTCTCTCAAGTGGCTTCCACAAAATGGTATCCCCGCATCAATCAACCTGGCACCAGTAGATTGATTCCCCGCAAGTGAAGGATCCCCTCAATGGGACAACCCAGCTGCTCAACCAGTGGCTCGTTCTTCAAATGGGATCTATACGGGCCACAAGACTGTGGCTCTACAGGGATCCTTACATTATACACCTCAACATTGCCTTCTAAATGGTGGTTTCCGGTTTCCCTTTATTTTGGTGGAACAAGCCATGTTTCAAGGAGCTCTGCTCTATAAAGGGTATGCCCCCGATTCCCCCCATTCCGGGCAGCGAGCTCGTTTCGGGGGTGGGAACGGAGCCTTGCCGTCCGCGGGGCCCAAGCCGCCAGGCACGCAGAGAGAGAAGGCGCCCTTCTCCGCGATGGCGCTGCCTCTGGAGGCTTCTCCGACCTTTTGTTTGGATCTGGGTGAATTATAAGATTTCACCGGCCTGAATTAAGGTGGTTGGGGGGCTATTCCCCACATAAACCACCATTTGGGGTGAGGTCGTGTGAGGTCGTTATAATTCACCCAGTTGCCCTCCAACCCATCAAAAGGTGCTCAGGTGGTTGGTTTCCTCTTGACTTCCCTGCAAACCAAACGTGGTTCCTCTTGGTTTCCTCTTGGTTGCCATCCTTTCAGAAGGTCCCCCTCTTTTGAGAAACACCGCAAATTTGCAGCAAACATGTCGCGTTGCCAAGGACAGCGGTGCCACGAATGGGGAATCAGCACCGTACCCAGAGCTCCAAGAACTCAGCAGTATACCCTTTGCAAATTAGACCCCTTGAAGAGACTCAGAGAGCTCCGGCACTTTTGTTGCGAGACCCGTTCAATGGGTTCGGCCACAAATGGACTCAAATTTTGGATGCTACAAACACGGGCCTTGGGTGCAAGCCTCCAAACACGTTTATTAGGATCCGTTCAGGCCGGGTCCCTTGATTTTGGGGGTCCGTTTACTTGCTTGTTTTCAGCATGGAATGAGGGAATGACCCGACAAACCATTCTTGGTGGCTGGCTTTAAGGGATCACCAGGTTTCTCCCCCAACCCTCTGCTCATAAATTGCCGAGAACCATCAAGTTCATCCCTTCTCCCCCAAGGGCTGAAAAGGTGAACCCTGGTATGGTGGGTGCGGCCTTTTCCCTCGCTGAGCATCTGATGAATCTCTGAAGCTGCCCGGTCCGCACCGCTCAAACAAAACCCGGCAGGTTCTCCCCACGTCGCGGAACTTAGATGTTCAAACTAGCAACAACAAGCTGAGAATCTGGGCACAAGTAATCAGAGGGGCTTACTCGATGTTAAACTCTGCTCAGTATGAGCATCCAAATACGCAACTCATACAACCTTCTTGGCATAGTATGAACATGCAAATTTGTACTGCCTAAAACCTACTGAGATTAGGATGAACGTCCAAGTCGACGCGAGTCATTCACCTGCCGAGAGGGTTGTCCGGCGCTCGAATCACAGGCCCGAGAGGTGTTCGAAAGGCGTCGAGATCATCGTGGTTCTTTTGTTCATCCGCCCGCACGGCTGCTGCTAGTGCTTCTCCTCCTTCATGTTGCCCGGCTGGTCGCTCGTGCTTTTTCGATCTCGGGAGCTTCTGCACGTTTGGAGTAGCGTGAAGCAGCCTATCCTGGATGGCTCAACCCTCGGCAAAAAGTTCTAAATGTTGCTGTTGAGTGGGAAATATCGTCGTTTCCCTGCGGGAGCAGGTCTAAAGATCCAACCAACTAGCAGCCAAGTATCTTAAGCTGCCCTCCTGTCTCGTTACGCCGGGCGCTTTCTCATCAAACCGGAGCTCCAGATCTTTTCCGCTCTCATGCTTGCCTCGCTGCATGTCCTGGACAGGCAACACAACACTGACACATGGGAAGGTAAAACAAGGATAATGCTATTGCCTTAAAAGGCAAGCTTTAGTCAACTCATCTTTGAACCACATGCAAACACAAATCTCTCAGAATTCTTGCTATAGGACACATACCAACATCTCTGCATTGGAACCGGCGTCCTTTGCGCAACGTCAACACTCGGTCCAAAAGCAAATTGACTCTTGGCCTGTCTCTTGGCCCCAACAACTGCCCATTGCTGCAAAGCTCGCTCGGTGCTCACCTTGCGCACACTTGAGCTAAAACGGCTTGCCTTGAAACAACCGTCGCTTCAAGACATTACGTGAGACGCAACGCTTCCAAACGCATTTTGGTACGCGACTCTCCACGCACTTGCCCAGTGACCCTGGTAGAAAAAGGGAAGCCTCGTGTTTGGGGTTCACGCTTGTGGGGGTCTGGTTTTTCGCTAGGCAAAGTTCAAAATGCAAACAAAAAGCACTGAAAGTAGGGATCCGGAAAAATCAAACATGTGTATCCACATCCTGCAAAATTCAAATGTGTCTATGGTGCACCCAGCAAATCCAGCACAGCCTCTAAGGTGGGCCGCTCTAGGTCCGACAAACTCAGCCAGTTTGCTGCACCGGATGGGGGGAAGGGCGACAAGTTGAATGCCTAGCGAGCAAGTTGACAAAGGCACCCAAAGCCACCCGCGCACATGGGAAAATGAGTAAGTGCAACTCAAGCTCCCCATGTCCAGCCTAAGAGAATGCCCAAACCGGGACCCCAGCACACAGCCTTAGTGGCTCTATATTTGTATACCCCTTTTTTCCCCAGTGCGTTTCGGAAATTTGGCGGCATTGGAAAACATCTTCTAGGTTCGCTACCTGGCTTGCTTCGAGGAAAGGCAAATGAACGTCGTGTTGTGGTGTTTTTCGAGGCTGTGAATTTGAGACCAGCTAAAAGACGCCAAAAGTGCGTCCCGTGCAATGGACTCTTGATAGAAATTCAGATCCCCACATGATTGCTATTAGCCGTCATGTTAGAATCATGTTGGCTGATTCAAAAACCAATACATCAGGGAGGAGAAGTTCAATCGAGGAGAAGTTCAATCGTTGAACGAGGACTGTTGTTCTGTCGGTGCAAGTTGTTGTCTTGCCAATTGCTGTTCGGAGCCAGCTTGCTTTGGGTTTGTCCATCCAGAGCCACCAAGTACATTCACAACGCGCAGTGAGCGCAAAACTGCTACTGTGCGTAAAAGTTATCGTTTTTGAAAGCCGGCGCTGCGTGTAAAAACAAAAATCTTGTGAAAGCAACACACCACACACACGCCAACACACACACACATGGGGTTTTCTGACAGACCGGGCCAATGCCACACCCCAAACTGGTTCAAGTTTAGCATTGTCAAAGCCACTCAAGTGGTTTGTAGGGTAGCGGAAACTGCCACCCAGTCTCTCACTTTGATACCCCAGACAGTGGCAACACTCAAAATCGCGGACCCGATCAACTTTGACAGCGACCAAAGTTGCTAGGCCCTGCACGTGCGCAGTCCGCGGTTTCAGCCTCGGTCACGTCGCAGATCGTCGCAGCATGAAGCTGGGTCTGTCTTTCCCTAGCGGTCTGCATGAGTCAACCGAATGGGGGAAGCTTCCCCACAAACATGGGTACTTTGATCCTTCGGTTTCCTTTTAAAACATCCCCAACAAGGATGTCCTTAAAAACACACCCGCATACCCGGCAGCAAATGCAAAGAAATGGCATGGACTCGACACAGCAGGCACCCAAAATCGGTTCTCAGGGCCTTCACCGCAGTCCAAAATGTCGGGCCCTCCAAAATGGGGTGGTTTCCCTTATGGCGTCCTTTTGGCACAACCCCAAAGCTTTTCATCTTTTTTTTCAAACAAAACACCCGAGTGGACTCCACCGATATTTAACATTTGGATTTTGCCCTTTTACGCGTACCACCCCCCCAAATGTTACCCTCAAAAAGCGAGGCATCCATTTCACACTCAGTCCGCAGCTGCAATCGCCTCAGCGACAGCTGCTTCATCCTCCAGCACCCGCACGTCTCGCCCCGCGACGGTGAATTGGCTGCCTGGCTCGAAAAGGGCATCTTTTCAGTTGACGGTGTGTCAATGTGTCAAGGTGAGTTGGTCACCGAACTCAAAGGTGGCAACCTAATTTAACTCCAAAAGGAGCGTGGCAGCCTAACTCAAAGGGCGCCAAAGCCCCCCCCCATTTGCCTCCGGTGCACAAAGTCCTAATCTACAGCCTTCCCACAAAAGGGAGATTTCTACTGCACCACCGCGTGTTCCATGTGCAGGACAGCATGCAATGACAATGTATTGGCCCCCTTTCTTCTTGCATCCATTCGGCCCGCTGCATATCAGCCCGTCCCGGGGACCTCCAAAGCGAGCAACTTGCGCTCGAGGGAAGCCCTTGCTCCGGCGTGCACCTCGGTGCGGTCAAAAGCCTCTCAGAGTTGGCTACTCATTCGGGCCCACTAGGGCCCCTCCCTTCCAAGAACCCGTTTGTTGTGACGGGGGGCGTGCTTGTGCTTGTTCCGAAATAGATTGTTGCGGAGTATGGGAATGGGTGGATCTCAAAAGTTCAAGGAACATGGGGGCCGCAAAATGATAGATATTCCAGCACCAGGAAATCGACGGTCATGACTATTGACATGTTGATTTTGCTTTATGGATATGTGTCAAACTGCTGGGGGTCCAGCAAAATGCTGGCTTTCCAGAACCCTTGTTAACCCGCTTAAAGGAGCCAGGGATGCTTGAAGTTGTCAATGGAGTCCTAAAAAGCTCAATTACCCCGTAAGTCAAATGCTTGCAGTCAGTGACCTTTCACATTGTATCGCCATCAGCTTGTGCAATGTGTTGTTTTGTGTGTGTGTGTGTTCTGAGGGTACCCTTTTCACCTTGTTTTGGAAACCAATACGCTACGCACGTGGTTGTCCGTGTTTTCCAAGCCTTCTATAGGACCTGTTCATTAGAACCTGTTCAACGGGCCCTGACAAACCCTAACATGCCAAGCACCTCGTGAAGGTACTTACTTTAACCTTCTTTGACCCCTCAAGGACATCCTCAGAAGGTTCTTGGACCCACTGACCAAAGACCGCCCCTCTGCTCTCCCCGGTCACCGCGCCTCGCAACGCCGCGAGGGAGATGCTCACAGTGCCGAGGGTTCCGAGTCCGAAGCCGCCGATCGGAACGCGCCTGCGTTGATCTCTCCCATTGAAATTCATGGCACCCGCCGAACGGCTTGTAAACGGCTCCAAACGGGTTCTAGAAGGCTTGTACCAAAGCACGTTCTCATGCATGTAGCATCCTAGAAACCATTCCCTCCATGTATGGAATACTTACCCCTATAGGGGTTGTGAGTTGAAATAAGCCCAAGGAGCGTCCCCTGGGCCAAATTTTATTCGGAGCTTTCTTGGAACCCGAAAAAAAACCCGTAGCTGTTATTGTCGAAAAAACAACTATATCAACATCAGCAGAAGCCACACCACAACGGATGGCTGTGAATTTGGAATCTTTCGTGGACATCATTTTGGTCAGGGTTACCTATGGAAAGTAAGATCCAAATGAGCCATGTCATGATTTGCTATGTCGTATAAGTTTGCTTGCGCCCCTAGCTTACGCCATCTTACGCGTGTGGAGTTTTGCCTTACGCTACCACATGCGGAGGTTTTGCCTACGCCGCCAGCTTACCCTACCTTACGCCTGTGGAGATTTGGCTTACGCACAACACAACTCTAAACATGTACACAAAGGTTTTGGACGCAGCTCAACTTAGAGAAGTCTCCGTTTCGCCCGGCGCAAAGGAATTTCCACAGCTTTCTGTACACTCGAAGGTCTCGATCGGCACAATGAAACCAAAGGCAAGGACCTCGAGGGGGAGGCTATATGGTTTTGGCTTGTCATGCTTAGCTGGTTGCTTTCGGTTTGCCAGGTTTGTTTGGTTTAGTCTGGCTTTGGTTTGGCTTGGTGTCCCTGGACAAGCCCCAAATAAGGCCTGATTACAGGATAGCCGTCCCTCCCTAAGGAAATAGTTTCTATCTACCCAATTTCGGAGCAACGCTGACCCAGGTTGGTCAAACAGGGACAGAGTGCCCAAAGACTGACCGGCCATCATGAGCTGCTTGCTTTCTCGGCCAAACTTGGCCAAACTGGACCCTGCAAAATGACCACGTTTTGCAAGTTCTTTGGACAGTGTCACACAAGCGCAACCAAGCATTGGGAACCGTGATCGATCAACCTGAACTCGAGGGTGACACCCTGGCAAGGCTCCAATACATGCAGATAGCATGTCGAACACACAATTCAGTGGTGCGCATCGGTTGCAGATCAACATAAAATCCAAAGAACCCATCCATTTTCACAGGAACTCTTGTTGGGGGATCCCCTTTTGGCATGTCCACGGTTGGGACTGCAGCCCAAAACGAATCTGTTGAGGCACACGAAAGGGAAACTCCGAAAAGAGGCTTTGTTCGAGTTGATTAGTTGGGATACAACCTCGCTTTTCTGAGGTCGGTTGCCCCCCCTTTTTGAGTTGGGTTAATACGCCCGTTTCCGAGTTGCAAAGGCCCCTCCCGGTGGACATGAACAACATGAAACATGGCCGGCTGAGTCCCGGGCTGGCGCACACCGATGCCAGGGCTGCAAACTGGATGAGCCCAGCCTGGAAACATCGTGGACTGCCCAGCGCATAAGCAAGGGAACGAGGCACCCGTCATTTATGTCAATCTACCACCAATCCACATGGAACCTGACAGGGAGTCCCTTGAAAAGGAAACAAAAAATGCTTCCAGGAACCCCCCCTGTCAGGTTCCATGTTAATTGGTGGGAGGGAAATCTACCGTGGTTTCTTGTTTGCTTGCAATGTTTCTTCGCCCAATCGCGGCATCATAGGATCTCTGCCGAATCAGAGACACTCACCAAGGCGCCCACCCCCAAAGACAAAGCATGTCTTGACCATGGCACATGTGGCCATGGGTCAAATCCCCACCAAAATAGACTAAAATGGGTGGTGCACCTATCCCAAAATGGTACGATTGGTTTTGACCCACAGCCATGTCTCTGTGAGCCCAAATGCGATTCCCACCCTTCTGGCTCCTTTGCCATTTTCAAGGAGACTCCCGTGAAAGTCTCATCTCCCAGAACACGTAGGTGCACGGTTGTCAAGATCAGGTGATGGCAACCTGTGCATTTCAACGGTGTCCACCACATTCAACAGCCACGTGTGGTTCGTTGAGTCAGTGTAGCTTTAAAGTGATATGGCAAGAATCCCTCTGACCTCTAAGCATCTAGAAATGCGTATGTCAAAATGGGGGGGGTTCTCTTTGGCTTCCCTTTTAACCAAAGCACCCACCCGATTCTAAGGGATGGCTAGAAACCAAATGAAGAGTGAACAAGGGAAAAGTGAGCTCCATGTCACCATGCCCATCGATCGACAATCCGTGAGGTCCAAAGACCTACTCGATGCGGGGGCTCAGGTTGCCAAGGTTTGCAGCCTCTGGTCGATACAAAGTAAGGGAAGTCTGCAAAAAAGATCCGCAACTTTGAAAGAACCCATGTGGCTATGAAATTGAATAGGACGCCACATGTAAACGATGTCCACAATGATGCAAAGGATGTCCACCAAGGGGTTGGCCTCAACTCCGTCAATCGAGCACGCTCGCTCCCGGCCTGCATGCGGGACCGGAGCCAGCAACGCCATCGAGCTGCAAAAATTGGGCCGATTCTGATTGAGCGGTTTCAAACTACCAGTGGCTGTCTCTGGTGCCAAAGCTGGCCACAGTTGGCAAATCCCAGTTGCCCACAAAGACGATCAAACAAATGGGTCCAAATTCCGATGGTTTTCCTCCCGAAAACCATCCGATCTTGACTCGGGAGGGGTGCAGTGCATCTCCATCTGCCCAAAAAGGGCCAGGGCTCCAAGCCAAAAAGCGGCTGCCGCGAGAGAGAGACGGTGAAAGAGTCGGCTTGTTTCCATCGCCAAAAAGGGACATGCGGGTGTGCCTCATGGGGCTTTCGGTTGTCTTGTTGGTTTCCCGCTAAAAAGAAGCAACCCCCAAAAAGCGTACCCAGCCTCAAAAAACGACAAACTGATGCAGTGGCACTCGCCCTTGCTTTCCAGCCTCAAATAGAAATCTGCACAATATGAAATTGGGACTTCGAGCAGGGAAGTGCCTCATGAAAGGAGAGGGACCCTACCAACCACCCTAGAGACCCCCAACCGTGAAGACCTTACCCTTTATTTGGTGTCAAATTGGGCTAGAAGAACTTTGCAGCCAACCGTCGGGGTCCTTAATTTGGGGGGATGCCCACATTGAAGCTCTCCAAAAAGGACAGCCCCACGCTTGCCACTCCCAAGCCTTTTTGGGCCTCTCTGCTAGCGTCGTCGTCCTGGAACGCCTGAGGGCGTAATGATTCAGCCACACACCCCTGGGGGCAGGTGCCCCTCACGTGTCTATGTTTATACATGGATATTCGCCTATGTATTCATGTTCACGCTTGAATGTATAAACATACTGTTATGACGATACAGTCGGTACACTAAGTATATGATAACAGGTTCTGCGGCGAAAAAATCCAACTTTCCCAAATCCCTTGACAACCAACTTCGAAGATGGATGCGCCCCTTCATGGGGAAGCCTGCGGAAACGACAACGCCCATTCTGGGTTCAGATGTCACAGCGCTCCTCGACAACATTGAAGTTGTGGGGCTAGGCGCGTGAGCGGACGATAGTTGGGCGAGCGAAGACGGGTGTTTTGTTTTCTTTCCCGCAGAACCCGGTATGGCATGACACGACAATATATTACAAGTACACTTGCATCTATGATTGAATATACAGCTACATTCATGACATACACAAACACTACAAACAACACACACACACACACACATTTAACCCTTTTATTACACTCACAGCTTACACAGTATATGCACATATATTGATTGCATGACATACTGCTATGCATTGCACTATGTTCACCACATTGTGGAATGTTATATGACGATGAATTGCGTCATGTTAAATTTTACAAATACAAATATGTGTACTGAACACCACACACACATGAAATATGTTCATTTCGAAGCACGTTTGCGAGAAATCACTCTTTCCGTGATGCCAAAGTAGGAACTACTTTGTCGCGGGAGTTTGTTGGTATCACTGAATGTTGTCTTAAAGCCAAGTCTTCCACAACCATGTGGCTGTGGGTCCAAAATAGGGTAACCCCAAAACGCCCTGGTAAATAGAAGGACTAAAACCTGCGGTTTTCTGGAGGTTCCATTTGGACCCACGCCCACGTTTCAGATGCGATCATCGCTGGGCGCCATACCCAGCCATTGCCGCGCATCGCCAAGCTGAAAGAACTTCCGGGTGACCTGCGAAACTCGCTTTGGAGCCCATCGACACTTTCTCAGAACCAAGCCCCAAAAGAGAAAGGAGCAAACTAGTCAGCTGGGGCTTCATGCGAATAATGGAACATCTTTTGGTCCAACTTTATGGCTCATACACCGAAAATAACAGATTCTGTTTCATGTTGAGCCAAGATGCAACATCATCTTGGAGGAGACCCGAGTTGGGGGGCTGGTTTCCCATTCCTCCTATATGCCATTTTGGACCCCCAAGGGCTGGTTGTCCAAGCATCGCGGAAAATAAACGAATGAACTAGAACTCCTTTGAAAGCTGGTGTCTCAGAAGTAAGAACTAGTCATGAAAGTTCTCAGCAGGGGGCTGATACTGGCGTGTCCAAAATCGGATCTGGACCTCAGCTCTGCACTGCAAGAATTTGTGCAGCGAAATGGTTGGCCACCTGTTGGTGTCCAATTGAGTCCACTCAAAAGCAGGGGGTGCCACAAAAGCGCGCATACACACAGAGCAATCGGGCAGGGTCAAATTACGCATGGGCAGGACGAAAGCAACAATCCTTAGGAAACATACCCACAAGGAACTTGACCGGCCCACGCCTCGCTGGCAAACAACTGACGTTGCGACGGGGACATGATGAAAACTCGACAAACATATTCAACCAGTAGCCAATCCCGGTCATCACAAACATCCATTACCCCCAACTAAAACTGGCATGTTCACATTCTTGTCCATACTCCTCTGCAAGTTAACCTGGATGTTTGGAGGAATCTCCAATTAGGCCACCTCCCTTTCGGTTTTCATGTTCACTAGCGGAGCATTTAGTGAGCCTTCAAATCAGCTCCCAACACCCATGGACCGTTGCTTCTATTAAGCTAGCCCTGAATCTAAGCCAGCCGGGTAGAACCAGCCGGGTAGACACCAAGTTTGTGCTGCTCAAATCCAAGGCACTCCAAACCGTTCCTTCAAGGCTTCAGTTGTTCAGTGACCCTGGAAAAAATGGAACCCTTTTTGGGGAAGGCCATTTTTAGTGGGGCAGCCACCATAAAAAAGGGAAAAAGAATTGGTGCCACTGAACAACTGAGAGGCCATCAGCTAGGATCCCTGGCGGGGAACAAGTGGAAGCGCCCCAGCTCCGTGTCCACCACACCTGGCCACGCGCAGCTACTTTGGGACGAATCGCTGGGTTAATCATCCTGGTGCCTGGTTGTCTCTGGGACTTGCAACCATGGCTGTGGTGGGATACAAAGTTACTTACAACCGTTGGGATCCCTATCATGGTATTGAGATGGTCTGGGACTAATTGGTTAACCCTGGTTTCTCTGGGACTTGCAACCATGGCTTTGGTGGGTTACAAAGTTACTTACAACCATTGGGATCCCTATCATGGTACTGAGATGGTCTGGGACTAATTGGTTAACCCTGGTTTCTCGGGGACTTGCAACCATTGCTTTGGTGGGTTACAAAGTTACTTACAACCGTTGGGATCCCTATCATGGTACTGAGATGGTCTGGGACTAATTGCTTAACCCTGGTTTCTTGGGGACTTGCAACCATGGCTTCGGGTGGGTTACAAAGTTACTTACAACCATTGGGATCCCTATCATGGTACTGAGATGGTCTGGGACTAATTGGTTAACCCTGGTTTCTTGGGGACTTGCAACCATGGCTTTGGTGGGTTACAAAGCTTTTACAACCATTGACATCCCTATCATGGTAGTGAGATGGTCTGGGACTAATTGGTTAACCCTGGTTTCTCGGGGACTTGCAACCATGGCTTTGGTGGGTTACAAAGTTACTTACAACCGTTGGGATCCCTATCATGGTAGCGAGATGGTCTGGGACTAATTGGTTAACCCTGGTTTCTCGGGGACTTCCAACCATGGCTTTGGTGGGTTACAAAGTTACTTACAACCGTTGGGATCCCTATCATGGTACTGAGATGGTCTGGGACTAATTGGTTAACCCTGGTTTCTCTGGGACTTGCAACCATGGCTTTGGTGGGTTACAACGTTACTTACAACCATTGGGATCCCTATCATGGTACTGAGATGGTCTGGGACTAATTGGTTTACCCTGGTTTCTCGGGGACTTGCAACCATGGCTTTGGTGGGTATCATGGTACTGAGATGGTCTGGGACTAATTGGTTAACCCTGGTTTCTCGGGGACTTGCAACCATGGCTTTGGTGGGTTACAAAGTTACTTACAACCGTTGGGATCCCTATCATGGTAGCGAGATGGTCTGGGACTAATTGGTTAACCCTGGTTTCTCGGGGACTTGCAACCATGGCTTTGGTGGGTTACAAAGTTACTTACAACCGTTGGGATCCCTATCATGGTAGTGAGATGGTCTGGGACTAATTGGTTAACCCTGGTTTCTCGGGGACTTGCAACCATGGCTTTGGTGGGTTACAAAGTTACTTACAACCATTGGGATCCCTATCATGGTACTGAGATGGTCTGGGACTAATTGCTTAACCCTGGTTTCTCGGGGACTTGCAACCATGGCTTTGGTGGGTTACAAAGTTACTTACAACCATTGGGATCCCTATCATGGTACTGAGATGGTCTGGGACTAATTGGTTAACCCTGGTTTCTCGGGGACTTGCAACCATGGCTTTGGTGGGTTACAAAGTTACTTACAACCGTTGGGATCCCTATCATGGTACTGAGATGGTCTGGGACTAATTGCTTAACCCTGGTTTCTCGGGGACTTGCAACCATGGCTTTGGTGGGTTACAAAGTTACTTACAACCATTGGGATCCCTATCATGGTACTGAGATGGTCTGGGACTAATTGCTTAACCCTGGTTTCTCGGGGACTTGCAACCATGGCTTTGGTGGGTTACAAAGTTACTTACAACCGTTGGGATCCCTATCATGGTAGTGAGATGGTCTGGGACTAATTGCTTAACCCTGGTTCGGGGACTTGCAACCATGGCTTTGGTGGGTTTCAAAGTTACTTACAACCATCGGGATCCCTATCATGGTAGCGAGATGGTCTGGGACTAATTGGTTAACCCTGGTTTCTCGGGGACTTGCAACCATGGCTGTGGTGGGTTACAAAGTTACTTGCAACCGTTGGGATCCCTATCATGGTAGTGAGATGGTCTGGGACTAATTGATTAACCCTGGTTTCTCGGGGAATTGCAACCATGGCTTTGGTGGGTTACAAAGTTACTTACAACCATTGGGATCCCTATCATGGTACTGAGATGGTCTGGGACTAATTGCTTAACCCTGGTTTCTTGGGGACTTGCAACCATGGCTTTGGTGGGTTACAAAGCTTTTACAACCATTGACATCCCTATCATGGTAGTGAGATGGTCTGGGACTAATTGTTTAACCCTGGTTTCTAGGGGACTTGCAACCATGGCTTTGGTGGGTTACAAAGTTACTTACAACCATTGGGATCCCTATCATGGTAGTGAGATGGTCTGGGACTAATTGGTTAACCCTGGTTTCTCGGGGACTTGCAACCATGGCTTTGGTGGGTTACAAAGTTACTTGCAACCATTGACATCCCTATCATGGTAGTGAGATGGTCTGGGACTAATTGGTTAACCCTGGTTTCTCGGGGACTTGCAACCATGGCTTTGGTGGGTTACAAAGTTACTTGCAACCATTGACATCCCTATCATGGTAGTGAGATGGTCTGGGACTAATTGGTTAACCCTGGGATTTCTCGGATGGTCTGGGACTAATGCTTAACCACTTGCAACCATGGGCTTTGGTGGGTTACAAAGTTACTTTGCAACCAACCATTGGGTATCCCTATCATGCGTTTGGTGGGTTACTTTGATCCCTATCATGGTACTGAGTCGGGACTAATTGCTTAACCCTGGTTTCTCGGGGACTTGCAACCATGGCTTTGGTGGGTTACAAAGTTACTTGCAACCATTGGGATCCCTATCATGGTACTGAGATGGTCTGGGACTAATTGCTTAACCCTGGTTTCTCGGGGACTTGCAACCATGGCTTTGGTGGGTTACAAAGTTACTTACAACCATTGGGATCCCTATCATGGTACTGAGATGCTCTGGGACTAATTGCTTAACCCTGGTTTCTCGGGGACTTGCAACCATGGCTTTGGTGGGGGACAACTAGGGCAAAGCTAACCACTTAGCGATTCGTCCCAAACCATCCAGGAACCTGGGCTCTTCGGCTTTTCGGAAACCGTCCGTTGCCTGCGCCTGCCAGGGCTGCACGTAGGTCAGAGGCCTCAGATGCGGGCAATGTAAAGGAAACCCTAGGCGGCTTCTCAGGATAGGGCCTCCTAAAGCGCTTGGTTTCCTTTTACTTGTCTGCCTCATGTGCGGGGGCCCGGAAGTAATGGCAATTGGATTGGTTTCCTTTTGGGTGAAATACCAACCAACAGGGGTTCAGCATTTTGTGAAACTCCCCGAAAGGGGTCTCTTGGGTGGCCAAAAAAAAACATGAAACACCTTTCAGGCCAGCGCCTCAGGTCCCTCCCCCCACCCCCCGATTGCTCATGGGGGCTGGGGGGGAGGGAGGGGGAAGCCCCAAATAAGGCCTAAAAAAGGGGCTTAATTTTCGGGCTTATTTGGGCTCCCTACCCCTCCGCTCCCAGCCCCCGTGAATTACATTCCCCGTGCCACCTGGAGCATCCAACTGGAGTGCTGGGGCACCTCCTGAGGATTCGATTTTTTCGGTCGGCAACAGGTCCGGAAAAAATCCGCGCGCTGAAAGAAATCAAAGACATGGACACGGTATAGCATAATATAGCATTATTGCAGTACAGTGGCAAGGCAGGATTTTTTCTGAGCTGCTAACACCAAATGATTTCAAGACATGCTGAAGCGTTGCTTAACAACATACACCTTCTGCTCCCACGTGACAAAGAAGGATGGTGTTTGAGGCTTGAGGGAGGCCCAATTTTTTAAATGAAACCAAACCATTTTGGGGCCTTCCTTCCTACACGATAGCCCCATATTGCAACAACACAATGATTTGGTGCTTCAACAGGCTATTGTTTGGCAAAGCCGACCTTGCATTTTCTTTGAACCATGCTGCCTGGGTGACAGCCTGTGACAGCAGGTTCCCTTACGACTGCTTCATTGCTACAGGGAAAACAACCGTGTGGCGGATTGACAACAAGTTGACCCCCTTTGAAACGCTGTTGACAGTCGCCAAATCCCAGCAGGGTCCCAAAGGGGAATTTATTGTTTTCGGGTGTTTGTATTACACCCTGGCAAGTTGTCCCACTCGTGCTTTCCGAGTCTGGTTGCCGCATTGGGTCAATTCCCCAGACTCCCCGAGTGCAGTGCAAAAATCTGGCGCATCCTCTGGCGCATCCCTTGGGGCACCCCTTGCTTAAGGATACACTTTTTGGACCTCTTTTGGCGTTTTGGGGGGCTTCGGACAATCGAGTTTGGTGGGTCATCCGATGATACAACTCCGCTTCTTCTTTCTTCGCTCGCCGGGGCATTTGAGCTCCGCACCTCCACCCATATGGGCTGCAAAGGAAGTGGCGCCTTCTGCTGGGCTTGCTTCTCCTCATCGGGTGGCTTTTGAGTCCAGCTGAGAAACAAAAGCCTTCCATAACAATAAGCTGAACCCCAGTTGCGACCTAAGCGGTCACCTTTTTTGTGGCGCTTGAATGAAAACCCTTTCTGCGATGGCATCTTAGTGAGACACCCAGCAAACCAAACGGGGTTTGGAGAGTGTCACTGAACACGGAGGCAAAACAAAAGGGGGGCATCAGTCAATTTGAGAGGTGGACACTTAGACCCCCCCCACCCCCACCCCCCTTAGATGTTCTCGAAGTGTCCACCGCGAAAGTCGCCCAACCCAAAAACAAGTCTCGCCCTCCTGCTGCCGCGCTTGCTGCCGCCGGTGAGGCTGTGGCCGCTCTGGCCGGGCCTCAGAACTCAGAACCGAGAGAGAGAGAGATCCCGAAAGCCAGGCTTAGCTTTCCCCCAAAGGGCTCCCAAGGCAAATCATGTACGGGGGCACATCATGTTGAAGACAAAGAGGAGATGAGATTATGCGAGTTGGTCTCAAAGGATGCATCCCAAGAAAAAGAGATGGTTTGCTTTTGAGACTCCTGACCACAAACCCCGAAGAAGTACCCTTGGCAAAACATGCATATTTGCTTTTTTGCTCTCAACTCTTTGGTGGACATCGGCTGTATGGGCACGTCTGTGTTCCCCGCTAAATTCATAGCCACAAGGCTTCCAAGTACCGTGAATATGTTTCTTTCTCAGAGGTTCCAAGTACCGTTTGTAACCACAACCCCTGCTACCAATTGGTTTGGGGCTGTTTCAAACAGAAGGCAAAGGCCCTTGCGACCGGCCCCAGGTGCGTGCAACATGCCCCTCAAGACCGCAGGGGATTCAGCTTCCGCAAGTGGTTGGGAGAGTTTAGTTGGAGGTTACAGCGCTGGAGTTGGGTCACCAATCCCTGTGCCATGATCCATGCGCGCCTGCGGGTGCTGGGGGAAATCTTGGTCAGCTTCAGGTGCAGGCACCTCAAAGGTCGAGCCCGCAAGACGCTTTCCTTGCATCCAAATGCCACGTTCGCGAGTGCAAACTTTCTCACAAAGATGGGTTGATCGGGGATGGAACCAAAGAACTGACAATGACCTTATTTGGCGATGGGTCAAATTTCGTACCCCAAGTGAACTTCCTAATCCCCACTAAAATCCTGGTACCATTGATTTGACCCACAGCCACTTGGCCTTACTCTTTTGTATTCTTGGCCTTCGTAAGGCAGCGCTCCTGGGCAAGGGGGGCTTTCAGCCCTTCGGAAGACCGATCGCTGCGAACACCAGCTCGGGAACGGCTCGTTCCTCGTTGCCCAGCCTCGCAAAAGACCACGGCCATCTTGGCATCCGGAAACCAGGTGGATTCTACAGAACCTGCGAATCAAAGAGGCCATTCTGAGGGTGAGGCTTGTGAAAGCTCCAACTTTGCCGTGCCCACGTAGGTTATTTTGTTCCCTTTCTTTTTTTTGAATGGGGGTCGCCACGTATGTATTTCCTCTACTTTTTTCTTGTTTTGAATGGGGGGTCGCGAATCGCAAATGTTCAGAAGGGTCCAACATAAAAGACATCCAACTAGACGCCCGTTGAACTCGGGTGCCTTGGGCCTCGCCTTGCAAGTGGTGGGCCAGTTCTGTAGGATCTCCCGTCTCCTGGCCGACTCCCAGTTCCAGGGCAGATCTTCACGGCAGGCTCCTTTTGGCTTCCCTTTGTGGCTTCACGGGGAAACAACCGCTCAACAAACAAAACACATGGAGCAACCAAACCAAGCAAAGAAGCAAAGAAGCAACCAAGCAGCCAGTTCAACTTGGGACCCTTTGGTGGACATCATGTTACATTTTACATACCCTCCCACTAACTAACAAGGAACCTGACAGGGAAATGGTCCCTTTGAATGGACCATGGTCTTCCAATTGGAACCCCCCGAATGTCAGGTGCCGTGTTACTTGGTGGGAACCTCCAAAGCGGTGCTGCCCAACCAATCCGCGCCAAGCACGCGCCAAGCCGCCTCCACAAATTCGCGCCGAGCCGTGGCCACAAAGTCCGCATCCTTGCGAAGCAAATGGGTCACGAGGGTTCGACCCGAAAAGTGGATGACCCAACTTAGATGAAGCTCCTTAGGCAATGGAATGGTTGCTCGAACCCAATGGTCTTGATGGTGGTTGGAATCCCAGTCTCTGAAACAACCTCAGTGTCAACCCAAAGCGCGTCAAATGTGGGCCACACTTTGGGACCCTTTTCGGAAGCCTCAATTTGTGAGGTCAGTCCCTTGTTCCCTACTGAGACCAGGATATTTCAAGGCTTGAGGGGTTTCAAGGTCCAGCGTTCCCTCCCGCGAACTCAACCCACCTCGGGTTCTCGCTTCCCTTGTGGAAAGAGCAGAACCTCAGGGTTGCGCACCGGATTTGTTGACCTTTTGCAAGTAACCATACCACACCCAACCACAAAAACCATGAAACATTGGGGAAGAATTGGAGGACTTCCCTGTGCCCTTACTTGCAGCGGCATCCCCCATGGCAGGGACATCTGCACCTGGGGATGCACCCCTTTGCTTTGGACCCTTTGCGGTGCCATCGTGGCTTGCGGGAGTACTGCGTTCTTGCGAAATGTAGCGGTGTCAATTGTGTTTGCTTTCGTCCGGGTTCGCCTGTTCTTGTCAATGAATGGTGAGAACGATGATCATGACAACGTTGATATTGATGTTGTTGCTGTTCCTGCTTTTGTTCTTGCACTGATTGCGTTTTGTTCTTTTCTTTCGTGTGATGTTGATGCTGTCGCTGCAGCCGCGGCTGATGTTGATGCTGCTGCAGCAACTGCTGCTGCTGTGGATCTGCTGCTGCTGATGCTGATCTGCTGCTGATCTGATGCTGCTGATCTGCTGCTTGCTGCGGCTGTGATTCTTGCCCTTGTTCTCGCCATTGCTCCTGTTTCTTGTTGCTGCTGATGCTGTTGCTGACGCTGCCAATGATATTAGTGGTTGGTCGGTCTGTCGGTCGGTTGGCTGCTCGATTGTTTGGTTGGTTGGTCGCTTGGTTGGTTGGTTAGTCAGTGGCTTGGTTGGCAGCCGGTTGGCGAGCGGTGGTCGTGGATTTCCTCAGAAGTCCCGCCATGTCTAGAGCATATTAGGTTTACTACAATATGAGTGAGTGGTGGTGTCGCAACGCTTCCGCGGTACGAAGCGTACCTTCCGCGAGCATGTTTGTCTATATAAGTGCTTCTGCGGGCCAGTTGTTTCTGGAAATTGAGGAAGGTAGCTTCTGCGAGGGAACGATGTGCTAGCAACTTTAGAAAGAGCAAACGTAATTCTGGACGAGCAAATCAACCACATTACATTCCTCCCGCGAGCTTCCGCGAGCACAAACAACTTCCGCACACCTTCCACGGCTGCAGTGTGGTGCTACCTTTGCTGTTGATATGTTCACCTCCAGACATGTTTGCTTAAGTGGGAAAACAACCCACTCATGCGTCTATGTCTGGCTCTCTGTCTCCGTCTCCGTCTCTGTCTCTGTCTGCCTAGCTGTTCGCTTGCGCATACATGGGTTACATGCCTGCGCTTGATTGTATATGTACAGTGTCAATGCCTGTCTTAGTGTGCATGGAGTGTCTACACACCTCAGCTCCGCGCCCTCTTCTGGCCAGAGCCAGACCCCAAGCCTCGTGCGACCCAACTCGCCGCTTCGACAGCTGGCCCTTTTTGGAGCCCGACCACAACAAGCGAAGGAGGGCAGAACAAGTCCATACTGGCCTAGGTCCTCCAGTAGAGAGGTTAGGTACCCTTTTTTCTGTAGTCTATTGTAGTAGGGGAGCCCTCCCCCAAAAAAGGGTAAAAGGGCACTACTGGGGGACCTAGTGGCAAAGGAGAGCAAAGCAATCGATCAACCTACTTGCCTCCCTGCCCTGCCTAATTCTCGCAAACGGACTCGGCGCTCCTCGATGCCCAGCAGAATCTTACCTGTCGATCTTCAAGCCGGGTCTGATGCATTCAACTCCATGCGCTCAACTAGACTCAAAGACCACCGGTACGCAACCCTATGCAAAACGGTGCATACCCTTTATGTAGTGGCTATAGAGCTTGTATGTCCCATGAAACCTAAGAAGGTAGCGGTTTGGGGGGGAACTTACACCCAAAGCCGCAGCGGATTCGTATGAAATCTAGAAATTTAGTCACAGATGATGTCACTCTCCAAATCACCCGCACGTCAAATGCCTATCTGTTGCGATGCGGCCACGGTGTAAAAGATCACACCGGCCTTGGTGCAAACACTCCCGACATTCCCTTCCTGCTGTGGGCTGTTGGAAAAATCGAGGGGGTAAACGGACCTCCCTGGCCCCAAGGACCGTAACCCACCCAATATGGAAACGACCAGAACACCTTTAAGAGCAAAAGGCTCCCAGACTACCTCATCCAAGCGCCGCACTGCTCGGAAGTCCTCTGGAATGGAATGTCTCGGGATGCGCCTGTTGCTTGGCATGGCGCCGACATGAAATCCGACCCGATCTGAAATGTGTCTTCCTGGACCTTCAAGCTCCGGGAAATGTCTGGGTGTTTTAGGAGACCCCTACGATTTACAGAATTCCAGTGGTTTAGCTACAATTTAGGCAAAAACACGTACGAATTGCGTCGTTTCCAGCTGCACGTTGGCCATACAAAGTAAATACACCTCGCAGCACTTGCAAACGTGCAAGTGAACACCATGGAATGCCTTGGTCATCAAAACTACAACTTTTTCTGATTTGCGGGAGTTTGCGGGCTTTTGCGGCAGATTTGCGGAATTTTGCGGGCGCTTTGCGGTCAAAATGGGTAGGTTTTTTCTGCACCGCACAACTTTGGACCGCCATTGCATGTTTTGACAAACTTGCTGGCTGCATTGAGTCGTTTACCCCTGCAAAGCTTCCTTTAATCTGTCAAAGGCCGCGAGCAGTGCAACAGTGTGGTTTTTAGGAGTTTTAGGAGTTTCAGTCTGTTGCGGCAAAATGTGCTACGATTTCCCGAATATCCAGTCAAACGCGGAAATATTGTGTTTTCTTCAGGAGGACGAAGGTCCAGGTTCATTACGTAGGAAATTCCCGGGCTCACTTTCCCAAACGACCTGAAAAGGGTACCTTTTGGAGGCTTGACGAAATTGGGGAATCAAAGGGTCGAAAGCGTGGCTTTTGGCAAGTGAGTTCTACATAACATCACATAACATCAATACAGTTCGCCAACCCGAATGGAGTCTGGAGCTTTCACCACCAGGCGAGCTCTGGTAAGCGCAAACCAATCCTCTGGCCTTTCAGCAGTGCGGCGTCTCAATCGGACAACCTGACACAGCAAGTGCCCTGTCCACAGTTTGCCGATTCCCTTCGAGTCTTCCCCGATAGAGGGAAAATTAAATCATAAATGAAATTCCAGGGGTCAACCTCCCCCCCAAATTCCATCTTGAGGGGAGTGGGATGAAAAATCAAACGCATTCTCTGGTGATCCTGATTCATGGTGTTGAGTCACGCACAAAATTCTTCCAATTCTTTGGCATCGATACACCCAGGCCAATCCGAGGACTCGGCCCCCCATCCGAGCACCGCGATGCCCGCTGTCCACTTTAGGCCCTGCAGCAGGTGGATGCGAGCACCTCGGAGCCACATGGGAGAACAGCAAAGGCCCCACAGGACAAGTTCTCAGGGCTTTTCTTGGCGAGGCACGTCTCTCCCTACGAACATTAAGCACTTTCGCTGTCTGACTTTTTTGCTGCAAAACAACAATAAGCAACCAATAAAGTGGTCAGCTACGAATGTGGTTGTAAGGGGACTACCCCATGCTGCCCGATGGTTACGACGTACAAACACCACTTGGGTGTCCTTTTTGCTCTCTGTAAAAAAAAGGTGAGACACATGGGAAGACAATTCTTATCGAATGGTGAAACGTTAACAATAAAAGTTTGAGGGTTTGGCCAAAGACCAGCCAAGCCAAGCTCCTCTCTCTCTCTCTCTGTCTGCCGATGCTGAGCTTCCGGCTGTCCACGCGGCTTGCAACCGGCAAAGGCCTTGGAATCAGATCGACATAACTCATGAACCTACAGGAAATCCCACAGAGGATGTTGGGCCAAACCAAACCCAGTAGTTAGGCAAAAAAAAACAGAATTTCCGGTACTCGGTTTCTTAGAGCAATGCGCATGGGCGACCGTTCGGCTGTGGAGATCATTCGAGGATTTGTATCCACCATCCATTTTTGACGGGCGTCCCTGTTGGACTGAATGGCCACATGGCTCAAGATCCAGCCAATGTCTGCCACACACAAATTGTGTTGGCAAATCCAGTGCAGACTTCTCATTTCTCTCAACATCCCCCCATCTAAAGGAAACTCATTGTAAACCTGACTTAAGACCACCAGGAAAAATCTAGGCAACCCTGATTCTGCCACTCGATTGTAACATGCAAAGTCATCCTCTCTTGTTGACCATCATGGGGATATGAATCGGCTACAGGAAAACCTAGAGGAAACAAGAGCCTTCAATTTAGTATCCCTTTAGATTTTCCGCCGAGTTCTTGGACAAACATGTTGATTCCTTCATAAACCCAGGTAAAAACGGAGGCCTCCTATGACCTAGGGTAACTTGCAGGGATCCGAATCTTTCCAGAAAACCAACAAAAGCTCATGGCTATCCACCATGATGGTTGAACAAAATACGAAAGGAACCCACCCCTAGATTAGTCGTTGATTCCGTACCAGCACTGTTTCTTCCCATTTTCAAAATCCCAAATGGATACCTGAGGTTGGAGATGGCAGAAGGGAAAAGAAACAGCCGGTCCCAAACAACAAACAAACAGGACTAAATGCCTAAATGCTTCTGAAATGCAACTATCTGTACACTTTTGATTTTCCGACTTTAGAACTTATGTGAACCTCGGGGGTCTATCCCTGAGTCTATCCCTGGAGCCTGCGCGTCGGTCGCCTGTTTTCGCCCCACGAGGTCCAGTCGATCTAAGCCCAGGGCTGGGTAAAGGCGATCGCTGGAGTCACACGCGCGCTGGGCACCATGGCGGCTTTGCTCGGGCTTTCCGCAGCGAGCGCTCGAAAAGTCGGGGTGATGCGCCGCCTTTGCAACCTTTGAAACGGCTAGGTCCTATTTGTCGGTTGAATTAAGTTTAGGGGGAACCAACATTTTAGATCGAAACCAACATGTATCGCAACCAACCTCCTTTTTGGACGGCTTGCAAGCAAACCTAAAGACATCACCCCCTTTGGGATGGCTCAAAAAAGGGATATCCAAGAAACCAACAAACCCATTTAGCGATCTGAACACATGCGATGCCGTCGAGTCACACGAGTCAGAACCGAACGCGCGTCTGTGCCCAACATACTCTCTGATTGGCCACTCACCTGCCGCGTTCGATCGCTTGAGATCTGAAGAAAGTGTCAGGCATCGCGGGTGTTCTGCCTCTCACAAACAGAATGTGACTTCATGCCGGTTCGCATACTCCAAGAGTATGAAGCTAAGTTTTCCCTGGTCCTAAGCGTCGTGTTTGGCAATGGCCGCCCTTAACGCGGAAGTGTATCCGTGCAGAAGTCCGCTCCGCATGGCTTGAACAAAGCAGCAATCCCTGCCTGAAGTCGAACACGGAATTCAAGAGGTTGCAGGATTCATTTTCCCCCGAGGCTCATGACCCCAATCTGGAGCCCTGGGGTCCATTACTTTGTGGTTCTGGAGTTGTCAGCAGATCCAGTGTCGCAAGGTATTTGTCCCTCTTCACATAAGCTTCATGGTTTCCCTTGGTTTCCAACTATATCATATTGGGGCTGGATTCACAAATCAGAAGCAGCGCTTTTGAGCATCGAGCTCTCATTGACAGCTCGGCTCCTTACACGAGCGGTCGCGTGACAGGGTAGTGCGCCACATCTCCCGCTGGTATCGTTCTCGGTCGAAGCCTGGCCATCCAACGGATGTCATGGACCCAAATGAAGCCGGCTCGCGACCAAGTTTCGTGAGATGTACTTTTTATCCACTCGCTCTAAAGGCCTCAGCAGGGAATGCCTAGCATGGTTTCCGCTACCCAAAAACCACTATGGAACACACAGACATGTACGGCTCGTTTTCCCTTGTGGGTAGTGGCTTGGGGCGGTGGAAGTCATCTTTGAGCATGCGAGTTGCAGCTTGAGTTGCAGCATGCTACACCCCGCGTGGCATCGCCTTTTTGCACAGGACACGTCGGCATACGTCGGCCACTTTGTCCGATTCATGCCCCCTTTGCACCAGACGGCTTTGGCTGCGTCTGTATCACATTTTGGGTTGCTCCGAATTCCCTGTCACGATAGCTGATGGAAACAAAACCCATTTTTAACAGTGAATCAGTGCCATGCCCGACCAACAGGTACAGTTCGCACTCATGGAGAACCAGCAAATGAGTGGGAACTCCACAATTGCGAGTTCCTGTTCTGTCTGAGTGTTGATTACTCACCATACCCCTGACAAAATGGATGGTTTTGGCCTGTTGGCTTCATTTTAAACCACAACCATAATGGTTGTACCCACACACTCAGAACCTTGTGGTTTCACCTAGTGGAGCAACCCCGCGGTTTCTTGTTCGCATCGCGAAACATTTCTACAGATCTACCTCCGATTCACATATTGCCGCGAGCTTATCGCTGAGACGGATTCCATCCTTACACCCAAAAGAACCAGCGGGTTCAACAAGGACCCCCAAAAGTGGTGGGTTTCCTGACGGTTTCTCTTTAAACCAACCAACAAAAAGGACACTCAAACAATCAAACACACCCAAGCAGACTATCATGATCTCCCCCCAACACAACGCGGATTTTTCGACTACACCTCCTTTTGGTGGACCCCCGTTTTGGGCTCCTTCCGTAAACTCCTGCTGGAAGGCACGAGCTTCAGCAACGTGGCAGGCAGGGTGGCCTTTTGTTGGCTAGGGAAACAATCATTTTCATTCGTTTTCCACAAAGGTGCTTTACAAGTCGGTCATTTCAAAACAATTCAGACGTGATTTTGGTGGAAAACCCAAGAGGCAGCCAAGCATCAAGGGCGGAAACTTGTTGTCCAGGTACCAGATGGCGCACTCGTTCTGGGTGGCGTTCGCAACGTACCGCATCCTCAGCAGTCGCCCCTTTCCTAAAGGGGATATTACAGCTGCAATACAATGAAAGCCGGGTATGGGAGGTTTTGTGATTGAATATGACAGTGTTATCCATGCAATGACGGTTTTGACGCCTGCTGAGTCAGAAAGCTCTGGTGTTAAAGGAGTCTACACAACTTCTATGAGATGCAACAGGTCGCGTTTCCCGCACCCGCTTGTGGCAAACGCTGTTGATACGCTGTTTCAGAACACGCCGTGTCCTCGTTTGGCAACGGCGAGGATCCTACTTGGCCAAAGTTGATAAGTAGCACGTGCAGCGCACCCTCCCCCACCGACAGGTTCCATGTCAGCGATGCTTCGTCGTGGGGCCTTTGGTGATCTTCGGCCCAAGAGGGACGCCCATGCGGCTGAGTGCCTAATTGGGCATGTCTTGTTCTAAGCAAACCGAACCAAACACCTGCAAGTGGAGGAGTCGCACCAGAGACAAAAGCTGCGGACCGGTTCCCGAAAATGGATGATGATGTCTGACGGAGACCGCTTCCAGGTGGGTGTCGAATCACCCGGCCCAATTGTTTCCCTTCTGAGTTTCCCTTGTAAACGCGAAACTGTCTGAACACGAAGTTGACAGGGGTCCCTCAAGGCAAACCGGAGGTCAGCGACTTCCCCCCCCCCCCCAATTTTGTTTGATCTTCATGGGTGTAATAGTTCATTTAACTCTGGGGACCGTCCCCGAACTTTCAGTGCGCAGGTTTTTGATTGCTCATGGTCCGAAGCCGAGTCGCGCCATAGGAGCCCAGCCTCTGTAGGCTGGAGTAGTCACCTCGAGACCCAAAAAGCTCAGGAGCGGAACACAAACTTGGCTGGCGACCCACTGTTGCATGCCATCAATGTCTCGGTCGAACAAAGGCGGCCCCTGCTCTTGAGTTCAAATCTCCGAAACTTGGACAATGGCCCTGGCGACACTGCGCGTTGAGGCACAATCTTGATCTGACAAGGGTCATTGCCAGTATCTCCTCTGCTCAAAAGTAGCACGCCTGAAAGATGAGAGTGGAATTGACAGGAAGAAACAACAAGTTGGGGTTGCCCACAATATACGTCCTCATCCAATGAGTGGTTTCCCTTGTGGTTTCCTTTGACATACCAAACCAAAAGAGAGCCGTCTCCGAACCATTAAGCATCCCTCCGCGCCTGGTCGGTCTTGGCCCCAGCTCGGATCAATGCCTCAACACATTTATTGCAGTTGTAATACACGGCGAGGTCCAACGGTCGTAATGTGCAAGTCCTGTCAGGGTTCCTGTGTCCAACCTGTTGAAACATCCCCCCCAAAAAATCAAAAGGAACTCTGAAAAAGAGGACAGCCCAAAAGTGGTGCCTTAATCAATCAAGGGACATAGCGTGGGAACCCTGGATTAATAAACCCTCGGTTGACTAATAGGGGTCGACATGGCAACAAGGTTTACATCACCTCAAACCGAACATCTGCCCTTTTTAGTGGCCCTTTTGGGGCCTTTTGGCAGGCTTCGCAAATTGGGCTATTCATAACATGCCCGAGAAAAATGGATTTGCAGGAGGGCTCCCAATATTTGTTTCCCCTTAAACATCACCCCACCAAGGAACATCAACCGCTATTGGTCCACAGGGTGTTTAAATGGCTTTGAAGGGATGTATGGGACCCCAAAGTGGGGGGTTCCCTTTGGCTGCCCAAGCCCACACCCAAAAGGCAAACCCATTAGAAACCCTGTTGGAGGGGCTAGTTGGGCCCCTGCCTGCGTTCGTCCTCCACCATCTCGCGGCTGCCGCTTACAAAGCTGAACTCCTCGTAGCTTGTTGCGGTTGGTTTGAAGAAGCACCACAGTCCCACAAACAAACACACACACAAACGAACACATACAAACAAACAGTCAACCAAACCCACCAACCCACCAAAAAAACACAAACAAACAAACAAACAAAGAAAAAAAGAAACAATCAAACCAACCAACAAACAAACAAACAAACAAACACACACAAAACTCAACCAAGCAACCAACCAATCAAGAAACACGAAAAAACAAACAAACAAACAAACAAACAAACAAACACGCAAGCAATCATGCACGAGCGCGCATGCACACAGGCAAGCAAGCCAGCCAGCCAGCAAGCAAGCAACAAGCAAGCAAGCCAGAAAGCAAGCAAACTACTAAGGAAGCATAAAACAAGCCCCCCCGCTCCCAAAAAACCTAGCAGACACACAGACAGACAGACAGACAGACAGACAGACAGACAGACAGACAGACAGACAGACAGACAGACAGACAGACAGACAGACAGACAGACAGACAGACAGACAGAAAGGCAGACACACAGACCACAGACAGACAGACAGACAGACAGACAGACAGACAGACAGACAGACAGACAGACAAACAGACAAGCAAACAAACAGACAAACAAACAAACAGTGAACAGCAACCAACAACCAACAACCAACAACGAACGACGACGACGACGACGACAACAACAACAACAACAGCAACAGCAACAGCAACAGCAACAGCAACAACAAGAACAACAACAACAACGACCACAACAACAACCACAACCACAACCACAACCACAACAACAACAACAACAACAAACACAACAAACACAACAAACACAACAAACACAACAAACACAGCAAACACAACAAACACAACAAACACAACAAACACAACAAACACAACAAACACAACAAGCACAACAAACACAACAAACACAACACACACAACACACACAACAAACACAACAAACACAACAAACACAACAAACACAACAAACACAACAAACACAACAAACAACGAACAACAAACAACAAACAACAAACAACAAACAACAAACAACAACCAACAACCAACAACCAACAACCAACAACAACAACAACAACAACAGAGCAACACAACAACAAAAAATAACTAAGAAAACCAACACCTAAACTACAAAAAACAAAAAACAAGAACAACAACAACAACGAACAACAACAACAACAACAACAACAACAACAACAACAACAACAACAACAACAACAACAACAACAGCAGCAGCAGCAGCAGCAGCAGCAGCAGCAGCAGCAGCAGCAGCAGCAGCAGCAGCGGCAGCAACAACAACAACAACAACAACAACAACAACAACAACAACAACAACAACAACAACAACAACAACAACAACAACAACAACAACAACAACAACAACAACAACAACAACAACAACAACAACAACAACA